AACAGCAAAATATAAAATTCTCTGACTTTAGATGTTTTAAAAATAAAATTTCCTAACTTTTTCAGGTTCGTTAGACACATATATTTCATGCCCAGTGATACCTCTGAAATATCTAATTTTAATCCTAATTTAAGAGGAAATTTCTTCCAAAATTTTCAAATCTGACTAATGGGATCAAACTACTGAAGAACTGATCAGATAAAGCATTTTACATATCACTACTGTTAGTGCAAAAGATTGTACATCAAAATTCAGTTTTTTTACAGATCATAAAAACTGATTATTTCTTTATATAATTTCATATTTTATTTCACTCCGCTATTTTCCGTTGCAGTAGACTACTTGTTACAGTTGCAACACAAAATGCCACCTTACATATAACCTTTTGCACTAACAGCAACAATATGTTGATCTTTTTTATTAATATGCCTCATCATTATTGCAATTTATCATATGCATAAATTATTTCTTTTTAGTGAAGCAGAGGGTGGAATAAAAGTTAAACACTGCTTACAAAATTTTTGATTAGGACAGGATATTATTAACAAATTTATCTTAAAATATATATTTAATTCAGTATTCATTTTTTTACAATGTAAACAAGTATTTCCTGTATACTGGTAAACATCTAACTAATAACAATTTCACTGATTCTAAATATAACCAAGTTATTAATTAAAAGAATCACTCAGTTCATAGTTAAAAGTTTATGTATGTAATAATTTGAACTAAAGCACACAAGTAAAAGAAATGTAACAAAATGATTTGTATCATGTAGGTTTTAATTTTTCAGACTGAGCTAGGTATAATATGTTTTTAATAATCCACTTGAGCTGAGTATCATTAATTCATCTTTAACCAAATATTTCTTGACAAAACAGATAATGATCTTATTGATAAACATTGTAACATTTTTTATTAATATAAATATTGCCTGAAAATCTTACTTCTTTAATATAATACAACTACAAAACATAACTAAATCAATACTCTTACTTAATAAAAAATCTTATTGCTACATAATTTCCATTTATGTCTATTATTGTTTAGTGAAAAGTATATATATTAAAAATACTTTAAAGTTAGATATGTCATTCTAATTATTTTTCACAATTAACACTACCAAGTATTTTATTATAAACTAGAATGGTCCATGATTTAAAAAAAAAAAAAACTTTTTCATTAAATGAGTAATGGGATTCAGTAATTGAATATTTACCACTTAATAGACAAACAGTATCAGTATGAGGCAGACATAGGAATCAGAACTCTTTCCATGCTAATGAAAATGATAAAACAAATTGGAATATGGTGTGCAGAACCTTTAAGATCCAAGATTGCCATAATTAACAAATCAATCAACAAGAAGTTAATTAATAACAATCTATAACTATTAAAATTACATGGAAATTGTCACGTGGCTCAGACTGAATCAAGGGCTTGGCCTAAAAATGTTATTTATAGCAAAAGGTTTGAATATGAATAAAAAATATATTGTAAACTAAATAAAATGAATCTCTTCTGACATTCCAAAGCAGCTAATTTCAAAAATATTAACTAGAAAATGAAAGTACTGACATGGCCGCCTCTGGAAAACTTATGGCAGCCAAACAACCTAGAAATTTTAGGATTTTTTTTTGGCTTTTAGCCTATAACTCATATATATTACATCTTGACAAAAACATAATGTTATATCAAATTAAAGAACATTACAGTATGGATCAAATGAGTACAACATATTTTTTTAAGTTGTGGAGTTTTAATTATTTATGTTATGGAGTAAATAATATAGTTGAAAACATGGTCAACAAAAGATTTTTACCAACTGTGTCAAAAACTTAAGATATATCACTATAAATAATGCCGTAACTCAGAATGTAGTTCTCGGTGAGAAAAAAACTTATACACTAGAAGTTGAAGATCATAAAATTTTGCACATTCTGCATAAAAATTCTTAAATTAGATCAAGAATACCTCTCAAAATTGACAATTTTCCGATGTATGTCAACTGATCTCACTATGCAGGTACATATGACTTACAAAGTATGGGTATTTATTACACATCTAGTATTTGTAGTATAAATCTCTATTGTGGCTCTCGACAAGAGACAAAATTCATTTTACTTGGAAAATACTTTTTTAATTCATATCCAAACCTTTTCCTGCTATGAGTACTAAAAGTAAAAGCTACAATTAGGGTGATTTTTAGGTCCAGGCACCAAGGCTGAAAGTATGTAGCTCAAATAAGGCACTGAGATACAAAGGACTGAAAGTGACATATTAAACAAATCAAATTTATTACATCAAGGTAAAGAATACGGATGTATGGCGATTGCTACTGGAGGAAGCTAAGACCTAAGGTTGTTGAGCTGAATTAATTAATCAAAAATCAAATTTAAATGGTAGAAAAGATAAATTTTTGAATGACCTTTTTACACGGGGCTCTGTTTAAAACCACCAAATGAATCTTTTGTTTGATTGTAAATGGATATAAGTTAAGTAACATCCAATCATCTCAAGCTTTTTTGCAATATATACATAAAATAGATTTGAGCTGTAATAAAAGCACACCATAATATTTAAATTAGTCACAATAAGGTCAAATGATTCCATATCTTTAGAAAAGATGAATGATAAAAATAAACTTGATATAAGTTAACAATAGAAGATGTTGGTTAAAGAATTCAAGCTAAACTAAAAAAAGCTGAACATCTGGAGAAAAAATTGATAGAAGCACAAAAACAGACCGAAAAAATCATAACAGTAACAGAACGAATTTGAAGAATTCAATAATGGTATTAAATGAAGTGAGATTGATATATATATAAAACTGGAAAATTACAAGAGTAGTGAATGAATGAAAAGAAATAGTCATGAACATAGGCATTCAAAGAAAAAAAATTCTTCTCAAGATAAAGCTAATCTTTCGTAGCAAATGGAAATTGAGAACTAAGATTAAAGCTTTACAAAGATCAATGCTGATAAAAAGATTCTTGAATAAGAAAACTACAACTAGAAAGAAAGAATATAATATTCTATGCAATCTAGTTTAATTCCATTGTTTTTTGAAAAGTTATATAAAAAAAACTAAGTAATTACACTTCTAATGATAATTACTAAACTGTTATGTCTCCTTCTCACAATGATAAAATTTTAGAGATAATTACTGTTTTATTTTCACAATCTCAGAATAAGACAAACAACGTAATAGTAATTGATACTATTTCATATACTTGATGAATTTTAAAATAATTTTCGAAAATTTATACAATTACTATGTACAATTTATATTTACAGAAGTCAATTATCATTACATGTACATCATATATAATGTTTAATATTTAATTTTAAAGCACCTTTCTTTTCATGAATTATAAATTATTTTTTTACAATTAATAACAACGTTGACAGTAAATTTTGTCTGAGATTATCACAGCATATAACAACAATAATAGGACATACTTACTAAAAAATATATACTAAAAGTTGCAATAACATTCAACCAATGTTTTAAAAATATAGTAATTATGGAGGTCAGCTCCAAAAGGAACAAATCCAAAACATGGATCTGAGAAAATAATGCTTTCTGTTTGTTGTGCAAGTGCTTACTCAATCTAAAACTATATATAATTTTTATTTAAATCTGAGTGTTGAATATTCGTGGTTAAAACAAACTGGTTCTCAGCCCTTTTAGTAACTTATCTCTAAATATACATCTAGAACAAAATGTACGATACCTTTTGGAACTTACTTCCTTGACAGTTATTGTAAAATATAATTGAATTAAGCATCGCAAAATACTGAGTGAGCAAAATAATACTGACAGGTAAAATCACTATTAATTGTTAGTTATAGGACACAAAGCAGTACAAGTATTTTTAACATAGGAAAAATACAAAAAAAAAAACTTTTATTTTATGACACAATACCAAAAACGATAAATAACACAGTTTCTATTACATTGAATGACTAATATATCTAGTAATATTTCATTCAACCTCATGCATCAGTCAAAAAGTAAAAAGCACAACTCAATTCAATTGAGGATTATTTTTTATAACTAAAAATGGTTTACTCATAAATATTAATATTTATAGTTACTATACCCCGACTAGATTAGTATAATGTTCATAAAGAAAACAATTTAAAACATTGCAATTTTTATCTATGATAAAGCAGTAATTATCAAAAACCACTATTAATTCAGAAGAATCCTAGTAATTCAACCTCATAATTCTTATACCCTTCCAATCCTATAAATAGTTATTCCTTTTAGAAAAGTTCTATATCCTATACCTTTGAGGATATTCAAATTTCATAATTTATATTTTTTATATTTAAATTTTATAGAGTGCTACCATTGGGTAGTTACTCAGCAAGTGTATTCATGTCATTATATCAGTTATGTCCAAATTTACTTGATGTATTTATGTAATACAGTTGTAAATGTCATAAAGAAATAAAAAAAAAAAAAAATTTCAACATTTTCCAAGGTCCTATCTTTGACTTATGGTTTGTTATCATTAACTTTATTTTTTTTTTTATATATGGCTAAATTATTATATCTCAATTATTTTCATCAAAGTTTATCGTGATTTTAGGCTAAACTAAGCTTCTGAAAAGAATATGAAACTGTATATTCTGTTTTCCCAATCTTCCAATGGTTTTTAGCACAGATATCATATGAAAATTAAATCAACAAATACATGTTGTTCCTCAGACCTACAGAGAAAAATAATTGGGATTCTTCTGAATAATATCACTGAATAAAAACAAGCCAAAGTTGACTCAATAAAATAAAATAAAAAATAAAATTTTTAGTGTTTTTTTACTATCAAAGATTAGATATTTATCATAAAAGTCCATATTTTTGATAAAATGGATAAAAAAATAATATCATGAAAGATCACAATAAATGAAAATAATTCACTTATTAAATCAACAAACACATGGCAAATTCAATTATTTTTAATAAAGAAATAAGATTAAAGTATTCATTTCTGTCTATAAATAAAATAAAATGTATTTTAAAGAAGTGAGTATTTTTAATTAACTTAAACTAAAAAGTAGGTAAGAACTTATTTAAAAAAGGTTTGAATAAAAAAACAGAAACTAATTACTATTTCAAATAAGAAGGCAATAACTTTTGAAAAATTCAAATCTTTCTAAAAATAAAATCATTAGCCAACCAAAAAGGATTTGTTACTTCACTGTCAATAACATAATCTTGGCTTAACATATATTCTGCAATAGCATCTTTACCTCCAGGAACATGAGCGAACTCAACAGATAATGTCTGGAAAACAAAACAAAAATGCAAGATGAAAATCATATTGGAAGCAATAAGAATCAGTATTTCACTAATGATTGTTAACTGTAATTAATCCTTCCAACAATAGGTGAAGAAAATAAGGTTAAATGCCTGGTAAGGTACTTATAAACTTGTTGGTGATTTTTGCTATCTGCCTTGAATTAATAGAGTTGATGCAATACTAATGAGAAATAAGTAATTTTAAAATATTCATTATAACAAATTTATAATAAAATTGATTTAAAAATACATATAAATACATCTGCCAAGTAACGTCAGTAGAGCTTCCTCGCCACTTTCATTGGTTACAAAATTACCTATATTTCAGGTCCATAATTTTTCATTTGAGAATAAAATATTTGGAAGTAGCTGATTTAGAAATACATCAATACCTCAATAGAGGCAGATTTGATATTAACCAATTTGGATCATCGACAAATATAAAAATGACAGTTCCACATTAGCGAATTACGAATTTGACAATACCTACAATCATGATAAATTCCTAATAGAGCATAAACAGATATTGAACATGCACATATACTTAATATATTTCACTCATAAAATGGAGGAATAAAAAAAAATTGAATTATTATAAATAAAAATAAATGTATTTAGAAAGAAACAAAGATAGAATTATTGAATTTGAGATTTTCATGACATTTCTGGAAAATAATCTTGGTGAATGTTAAGCGATTACAAAACATATATCTAGTCAAGGAAAAAACACACACCTATGTAAAATAAGTGAATGGGATTCGGTGTAATCTATACTGAACCAATTAAAACATGACCCTCTGAAATCTCTAAAAATTACATGACGTCTAAGCAACAGCAGTAATGGCTGCAAGCTGTGCAATTGACAGTAGAATGAAATTAAACAAGTTGCCCCTAATTTGTATAGTATATTTGTCAGTGAACAAAGGGAAATATGCAAATGCGATGTATTATTAGATGAAGATATTAGATATTGTTTTCATCGGTAATTATAATCGACCAAGGAAGTGAAAATTAATTTTAAAACTTCATTCATGTTTTAAACTAACATGTTTACAAATTACAATAAGCTGTTTCTTTGCTAATAATAATAGTCCGTGGTCCAAACCTCTTTTTATCAAATTATTAACATCCGCCTGAAACTTCGTAAATAACTTCATCTCATCGTAACCTACAAATATTTTATTTACGAAAATTCTCGGAATTGGGACATTTTCAATCTGGAGGGGAAGAAACTTTATTTATTTAATTAGGTACTAAAAACTCGTAGATACCCATTTGCTTTCCACCTGAATCTTAAGATAATTTGAGCAAAAATTTGAGAAAAAAGGGAGCCTTCAAAAATATTGAGCTGTTTGGCGTGACCTACCCTCCCTAGTTGTCAAAATAACGAGGTCATACGGGACAAATGGCCCAATATTTTTGTAGGCCATCTTTTTATCGATTTTGTGATCAAATTATCTTAAGATCTATGTAAAAAAGGAATGGGTATTTCCGAGTTTTTAGTAACTAATTAAATAGACAAAATTTGCCCCCTTCCAGATTGTAAATGCCCCAATTCCAAGAGTTTTCATAAATGTAATAGTTGTAGGTTACGATGAGATGAAACTATTTAGCAAGTTTCAGGTGGATGTTAATAAATTGATAAAAAGGGGTCTGTACCACGGACTATAACCAATACTATATTATAGTCCAATTTATTTAACATTAACTATGTATTTAGCATTTAACTAAAGTATGAGTACAATGCTGAAGCAATTTACACTGATGGAAGCAGGAAAATAAAAAAAAGTTCACAATTCCCAAATGTGATCCAAAACCATCTTCCAAACAAATAGGAACAGAAATGATCTATCGCCCACACAATGGCTAATAGTTCACGCTCCAGAGCGCTATAACGTGACTCTGCGCCCGACAACTGTCTGCTAGCAAAAGCGACTGGTCTATCACCACTAACCGTCTCCTGAGACAGTACCGCCCCTAGTGCTTTCTTAATTGCATCAGTAGTGACAAATGTTTTTTTAAAATCTGGAAAAGCCAAAACTGGCTCTTGTGTAAGCGCTGTCTTACACTTCTGAAAACTTTGCAGATGTTTATCTGTAAGGAGAAATGATCTACCCTTCTTTAATAGCTCAGTTAGAGGTGCAATTATTTTGGCTGGGTTAGGTAAAAATTTTCTATAATAATTGACCATTCCTAGAAAACTTTTGAGCTCCTTTTGGTTACTGGGTGGCTGTATCAGGGGGATAGCATCAACTCTAGATGGGTCCAGTTTGACTCCGAGTTCTGATATATGGAGGCCTAAAAATTTAATTTCTTTTTGAAAAAATCAGAATTTATTTTTCGACTAGGTTCCTGCTCTTCTTCGTCAGTGCTAGATCTCTCATCAGAATAGCTCACAGAGCTCGAAGTTGAGATCGCAGTACCTGGAGGGTGTAAGCGTAAGCAACTCGTGGACATATGTCAGAAGGCCCACACCAAACTACTTCGGGAAAAACTCTCAAGAGCGAATCGCACCTGTCTAGCTGTCCCCGACGAATCGCATAAAATTAAACTAGGTATGACGGTATATCGGCGGCCTACGTCGAGTCGGCGAAAGGGAGACAAGCGTTACGAAGGATCATTCAAAGTGATAGCGTTACGGGAGCATAATATTGTATCAGTTCAGGAGCATACTGGTAATCAATGAGTAAAGCACACACATATACGTCATCTCCGCATTCCTCTTGGCCCAGGTACTGCTGAGAATGACATTCCACAATATGCTCTATAAGGATATATTTTTTTTTTTGTTTAATATTATTTTTTTGTAATTGCTCTAAGTTACAGTTTAATTTGTGATTTTTGAATGTTCATTTCTAGTTTTTGTTATTTTCAGTAATATTCGTGTCCTATTTCCGGATAACTCTGAGTTCACTTTGTGAACTGGGAGGGGAGTGTTAAATAGGGTGCTTCAGTAAAGCTTGTGAATAATAAGATAAGGCTTGATATCATTTTCACGTATTTTAAAATAATGAAAAAAACATATGTTACTTGATATCTGTTAAAACGTTTTGTAAAATCTTTAATTTGTAATAAAAAATGTTATTTGTTATTGACACTATATCTGAACCAATTGTGTACTGTTGAACTACCCTAAAGTTAACTTTATATATATATATATATATATATATATATATATATATATATATAAAAGCTTTCGGACTGAAATCCCCCAAAATTAAATCCTGGATCCGTTAGTGAACTGAGTTAATGCCGAACGAAGCAAATTAGATGAAGGTCTTTTCCAGTATTGGATACTGCACATTTGTTGAATTAGGGCAGGTAAACCAACATTACTAAACAGTTTTACACTACATAATTTCATTTGACTCTGTTATTTTCCACTAATGTAGTAAAAATATAAGATAAATAAATCGATATATAAAATATTACCTTATAGTTTAAGATATACAATTTTCTTCACCTGATAATTTTTGGGTTTTTCGAGAAATATACTTGTTTCTTTACTCTAGTGGAAAAAGCTACATTCAAAATGAAGACTCAATCATTGGTTTTGGTGAAGTTTTAAGATAGATATGGTGGCATTACAACAAAACACCTTTGAGAAGAATTTACAAATATATTTGGAAGTCCCAACATCACCTTCATCGTGGAGACAATAAATAATTTTTTGTTTTCTGGATATTTCCAAATTAATAAAATACTTATTACTACCTGCATTAAATTTTAAAGAATAGGTGAATCTTCAGAAACATTCAATAATACAAGTAGAGGTGGTTCTTAAGAATCTAAATAGAATGAGGGGAATGAAATCTTTTCTATATCATAATTACTTACTTGAATATTTAACCGCTGAAAAGGTAAATTTTTAAGCACTTCAAGCTCAGCGCCTTCAACATCAATACTTAAATAATCTATGTGAGTCATGTTCAAAGCAAGTAGATATGTATACAAAGGGAAACACTGGACACTAATAACATTCTTCTCACTTTTATTTTCCGAATCTAGCCAGGCTAATTTTCCCATATTGCTGTTTTGTTCAAATAAAGCCTAAAACATAATTTAGATTAAAGTTATAAAATCATAAAAACACATTGGAGGAAACAATACAATAAACAAATATTTATTACATCATGTAACCAAACAATTCAGGTTCAATCATTTAATATCAATAAAATTCAGATCATAAAAATCAAACAATACCAATTGAAACAGTAGAACATCATACTTTAAAAACAAATGGTACAACATTAATCCATCAGCCAAAAAAAAGGTTTCTAGTAAAATACACAGTTTCTAAAAAATAAATATACAGAAAAACAACTACTACAAATTAATATAAATATAGTAGATAATGTCCAGTAAAAACGTATTAAGTATGGAAAAAACTCAAGAAAAATTCTAATTTAAAAAATTCATGAACCCTACGAATTTTAAACAAGAGATTCCAAGGTTTACCATTTTTTTCATTAAAAATAAAAAATATAGTATGCATTTCCTAAGATGTCCATTTTTCCAAATTGATAGATAAAAAAGACTTTGAAAAAATCACTTTTTCACACTGAAATAGATATATTAATATATAAAGCCAAATTTACAATAGAGATAGTATAAAATAAATTGGACAAACCATCAAATTTACAAATTTAGAAAAACAAAACCACTAAAAAAAATAATCGAAGAGGCTAAATAAGCAACATACATATCAAAGAAGTAAAATCACAAATATAAAAAATTCTTGAAAATTGTTATCCCATCAGACTTAAAAATAAATTATGACACAAAAATTGACAAGCAGAGACGTTTATTTAAAACTGAATAAGGATTAAAATATCAATAAAACTACCAATACCAAACAATGAAAATATAAAAAATAAGACTAGCCGCCTAAACAACAATGCCAGAAATAAAATAAATAATTTAATCACAAATTACTTTAAATTAGAAAATACTACTATGCAAAATAATTATCATATCCATGATTTAAATCTTTAAAATAATGAAAATAACTCAGATCTAAATCCCCCAAAAAATTTTTCAGTGATGTTTGTAAAAGGATTATCTAGAAAAAAATTAAATACTTGATAAGTGATTGATATGATAAATATGATTAAACCAAAACTCTAAAAATTAGAAAAAATATACAAAAGTAACAAGGACTTAATTTTAAAACAAAAATATACCAATATGATATATAAAATGGAATGTGAAAACTGTGGCAACAAAACATATTATGGACAAACTTAACAATGGTTAAAACCATAGATTGCAGTAGCCAAGCAGAATCACAACTCAAGTTACTAAATCTAAATCAGTGACAGGACTTTCCCAATAGATCAAATACAAGTCAAGAAGTTGAATCAGTCAGCAAGTTTGATGTGTTGAGTATAATTGAAAGTTTGAACTATAAAACTAAAACAAATAGTTTCACTAGTTAAATAGTAATACTAACTATTTCTGGATAAGCTTTGACACTCAAGCATGTTGGAGATACCCATGCTCTACGATTCTTGGTTAATAATTGAGCAAAATTAAGAGGATCGGGTTCTATTAACAAACCAGTCCAATTTAAGAACCTTTCAAAGTATAACGTGTTTGAGCGTGTTTCTCCATCAAGGGCACCAACTTCTAGGAACACTCCATTTTTCTATAAATTAAATATTAACATTAATAATTAATATACATTTTTGCTGTAAACATATGAAAACTGACTTACTTTATCCTTTAGTATGCCTCTTATTTTGTCACTCTGACCCATGGAGGGATCGGATTCATCAGATTTTTCTAATCTATAAGGTTTAGGAGGAAAGGGAGGAGGTATTAGGAACTTGGTGTATAATTTCTGCACAAGCCTTGGATCATCCATCTGAATCGAAGGGCCATTTAAATGATCTAGCAAGAGAAAGATAAAAAAAATCATATAATGCTCAAACATTTTTAGTATCATTAAATGAACTTATTACAAAATATCTTACCTTCACTATAGTTGTACCACTTGGAAACATCTACAATTAAAATAAATATTATTGTCAGTAGGTATCTGTAAAGAAAACCTTACAATAAAAAATGATATTCAAATACCTGGTTCATTTAAAAAGGTTTTTTCGAATAATCCATTAGGATTTATATATGAATTATTGACGTATATGTGTAAAAATAAAATTATTAGTGAAAGAATAAGAAGAAGTTTAACTTTTCTGCTCCATTTAAACATTATTTTATATAAGACTAAATCACATGTCAACGAAAAATAATCTATAAGTTATTTAAATGACACGAAACTAATCACTATAAACCACCAAAATTGTAATAATAACTTTAATTAACCATTAATTAAATCATTTACTGAAAACCAAACAAAAAAAACTAGTTATGATACCTCCCTCCTGAACGCTCTTGAGCTACTGATAACCAAGGATGGACAATAATAGATAGCACTATCGATATACTATAGATAAAATAAAAAGTTATCGATAGTCGTGGTGACTAACGGAAGTGCATATCTTCCTTCTCTCATATCCGTGCGGGTCTTGCAAGTCTTCCTGGCGCTTCTATCTTGATCCATTCTAAGAATATGTCCAAAGCAACTTAGTTTGCGCTCCTCCGGAATGGTCTCTGCCCGTTTGACGTTGAGTCAAGTCCAGCTCTATTCGTTCTGTTTTTTGTAATATTTAAGGCTTTAGGGAAAAGCAGAGTATCAACCCACTTCTCCCGAGTCAGGTAGAGGGGTTGCTACCTAGCGAAGGTGATCCTAGGGTGTGTACTGACTGTGACCTTATGTTAGTAGAAGTGAGAAAATGAGGATGGCTGCTGTCAAGAATCAAGTCAGTCTCCTCAAGGGCAAGACTGACAGGGCACACCCTATAGCAATGAACATAGAAGGCCAGAGGATACATCCAAGTGAGGTGGTAACCTACCTAGGAGTTAGGTTAGGTTTAGACTTAAATGTGACACCTCACTTGGAATATCTGGCAGGTAGGATGGCCCTAGCAATGAACGGTCTAAATCACGTGGGGGACGCATTCTGGGGTCTTAGATATCCAGCCACAATTACGATATATAAAGGTGTTGTGGAGAGTATCCTGAGGTATGGGTCTCCCTTCTGGTTCCGTAACCTCACACTATGACAAAAAAAGAAGCTAGCTCCTCCTACTAGAAGAAGTGACGAAATATTCTTATAAGATGGAAGGCTCTACAGTACTTTCAGAAAATCTACAGGTAAGGATTATGGAAGCGCCTAATAGATAGAAGAAGATAATCTGGGAGGATACAATTGAAGCATGGAACCGACGGTGGGTAGCAACCCCTAAAGGAAGTACATTGAGGAAGTGTTTTCCCACAGTACTGTCGAGGCTTCAGGCAAAGTGGGTCTTCCCGGACTACTGGGCATGGAGGATTTCGAGCTAAATTTCACGGTCTGGGCATTGATGTAGATCCTCTATGCCCAATCTGTAAAACAACCGTTTTAACAAATCCTTCACAAAAAAATAGCCGGACTGATTAATGGTACGACTCAGGCGCGGACACTGAAAACACTTGTCTCTAAGAACATGGAACGTGATTAGACGAAAAACCTATACCAGCGAGAAACAACTGGCTCGATGACGGTTGAAGACAATAATCGAAGCAAGGAATGAGGAGAAGCATAAGCGAAGCCTACACGGTAATTCATGAATGAACGTCACAAGAAGGGCCAAGATTTCTGGGGATCACTTTGATCATGAAGACCTTTACACGTTCAATAATTACTGATCATTACTTATCGTTGCTGACACCAATTTAGCTCAGTTTTAAACAAAGAAACAACATAGATATGCTTATTTGGACATTGTCATTTATAATATTGGACATCAAGAGAAAAACGGAGATATAATAATTACTTCCTAGTGTTTGAAAATCGTTTAGACCAAAGTTAGAAAAATATAAGTCAACTACATACAAAAATCTAGGAAAAGTATTGCGAAAATAATCAATTTGTTAAGAAAAATGGAAAAATTAATGACAAATAAACACAACAGTTAAAGATGTTTTTTCTATTAGTAAATTGTGAAGTTTCCACTTTTTTTTTTTTCAATTTATTGTCTACTTGAGTATTTAAAGAAAAAAATAGTTGAAAATGGTTAATAATAATATAGACTAGGGATATAAACATCAATTTACTTTTATGAAATTATTTAATTAATAACGAGACCTAGGTAAACTAACCTATCTAGTAGTATGATTCAGCATCCCACTAGAAGTACAGCCAAAGGAGTATAGTGACAAGAGAAAGAAAGCAAAGAAGATCTGTAGGCAGAAGAAAAGAATTTGGGAAAGGAATAAACTGGAAAATATTCAGGAGAAATTCGAAGATCATAATTCCAGTGGTTTCTTTGGAGGTGTTAAGACTCGAGAAGGAATAATATAAACCTCGCCCCAGCTTTTGTAAGAATAAAGATGGAAACTTAGTTATGGGTATGGAATAAGTTGTCGGCAGATGGGCAGAATACTTCAGGGAGATATTGAATAAGGATCATGTCAATTATGACAGTGGGCCACTAGAAGCAGACTTTGAGGAGAGGCATAGTATGATTCAGCGTCCCTTGACTTAGAAGCTGATTTCGCCGAACCGGGAGGAAATCTTGAAGATTGTGAGCAATCTAAAGATGAATAAAGCCCTTGAGGTAGATGAGATTCAAGCAGAGCTGCTGAAATACGGTGAGGAAGAAGTATGGGACCAGCTCTACCAGCTCATGTATGATATCTGGTCAGAAGAAGAAATCCCTGAGGACTGGAAAGTAGCGGTTATCTGTACCATATATAAGAAAGGTGACAAGCTCTGCTACTCTAATTACAGAAAGATTTCTCTGTTGAATGTGGCCTAAGGTATTGTCTACTGCCATCAAAGGGAGACTTACCGCTCGTGGAAAGAGAAGTCGGGGAATAACAATGCGGCTTTAGACAAAGAAAGGTCCACAATAGACCAAATATTCACAGTGCGCCAAGTGCTGGAAACATCTTTGGAACCCGATGTTGATCTGCATCATCTTTTCATAGACTTCGAACAGGAACTTTTTTTTTTTTGAAATCTATTTGTTGAATAATAATACAATCAGCCACTGCTGGAGGGCTATAAGCATTAGGGCTAAAAGTTCTCATTCATACAATATATACAAATAATAAAGAAATAAATATAAATATAAGAAGTAAATAAATAATACTGATGAAGAAGGTAAATAAAAAAAATAAGATAAAAAAATAAATAAAATAAATAAAATAAAATAAAAACTTCTAAACACAATCATAACTATATACAATATATACATTTGCCCAAGAATCTCCGAGCCAGGCTTTTACCTCCACACGCGGAAGGCAAAGCAAGACTCCGGAAGATCCCAGTGCCACTTTTCCAGTCGCATCACTAGTATTAGAAGCCAGTGGAGACTGAAAGAGGGCACTACAGCCACAGACGCTCAGGACATGAGTGGAGAAGCTGGCCATTGCCAGGACTCCAAAGGCATATTTACAAAAGATCTCGAGGCCACTGCCGTTTCAACCTTCGAGGGGGATGGTATGGATGCTCGGAGCTGGATAGGGATTGCGCTAGAGGATTGGGATGATGAATGAGGTTCTGGTGAAAGTTGGAGAATCTGGATGGGATGATGTCATGGACATATGGGATGTTAAGGTCATGGTGTAGGGTCTTGTTCGTGACATAATATGGAGCATTGACTATTGTTCGAAGGACTTTGGACTGGAAGGATTGGATGCGTTTGATATTCGATGATTTAGTTGTCCCCCACAGTTCAAGTCCGTAGGTCCAGATAGGTTTCAGTATGGTCTTGTAGATTAATAATTTGTTTTCTGTTGAGAGATGAGATCTTCTGTTTAGTAGTCTATATAGCTGACCAAATCGTCGGTTAAGCTCTTGTCTTTTAAGTCTCGTATGTGGGTTCCAAGTCAGTCTTTTGTCCAGAAGGAAGCCAAGGTATCGGACTGTGTCTGAGTAGGGAAGAGGAATTGAATTAAAAAGGATTGGCGGACAGGATCTGCGTCGAAGAGTGAAAGTTACATACTTGCATTTTGATTCATTAATTTTGATGCGCCAGTTGTTGCACCACTGCTCAATGAAGGAAAGGTGTCTTTGCAGGTTCTGGGACGCTATTAGAGGATCCGAGTGGGAGGATAGGATGGCAGTATCATCAGCAAATGTTGCTAGGAAGGTATCAGGACTTGAAGGGATGTCAGCGGTGAAAAGGATATAGAGAACTGGGCCAAGACACTGCCTTGTGGAACACCAGCCTCAATTGGATAATGTTTGGAGAGTTCAGTGCCGCAGCGGACTTGAAAGGAGCGATTTGAAAGGTAGATTTGAGGACTAGGTACAAGGGTTGAGGTAAATGGGTTTTGAGCTTGAAAAGCAAGCCATCGTGCCACACCCGGTCGAAAGCTTGAGCTACGTCCAGAAAGGCACCAGTGCAATATTGCTTGTTTTCAAGTGCAGAGGATATGTGGTCCACAACGCGAAGGCCTTGTTGGACAGTGGAGTGTCTTGAGCGGAATCCAAACTGATGGGAAGGGATATTGTGGGATTCGAGTATGGGTAGGATGCGTTTGAGAAGGATTTTCTCAAAGATTTTGGAAAGGATCGGAAGTAAGCTTATCGGTCTATAGGATGATGTATAATTAACAGGTTTACTTGGTTTAGGAAAGAGGATAATTATGGAGTGTTTCCACACCAGGGGAAAGTGGGTTGTGCGGAGGATACAGTTGAATAGATATTTAAGGAATATAATTGCTTTTTTGGGAAGTTGTCTGAGGATCTGGGAAGTAAGGAGATCGTGTCCTGGAGATTTACGAGGTTTTAGGTTCTTTAAAAGGAATTTGACCTCAGAGGGGTTGACGGCTGTAGGAGGTAAGGAGAGAGGAATCGATGAAGAGAGGAATTCTTTAACTTCAGCAGTATGGGAGGGATGGAGTTCAGGATGAGGAGTGAATGTGTACGATAGATGTTTAGCAAACTCTTCTGCTCTATTCTCATCTGACGAAGCCCAGGAACCATCATCACGGCGGAGGGGGTGGGAAATGGATTGGAATTTAAGGATTTTTTTTGTTACATTCCAGAGGGAGTTATCACTTGCAGATAGTGAGGAAAGATAGGAATTATAGGATTGGGATCTAAACGTAGCCAGTTTTTGTTTTACCTGCTTGGAATAATAGTTATATGATTTCCGATCATCAGGATGCCTGGTTCTTTGCCAGATGGTCCTAGAGCATCGTTTCCTATTAATAAGGTCCAGTAGGTCTTGGGGTAGAGGATTTATTTTGCGGTATTTTTTAGAAGGATCAGGTGAAGATGCAGTCCAAACTGCTTGTTGGATCAAGGTAGTCATGGAATATACTGCTTCATCTAGGTCTGCAGGTGTTTTTAAGGAAACCCTGAGGTCAATATTATCATCCAGTATTTGACGGAAGAGGTTCCAATTAACTGGCCCCCTGATAAATGAAGGTGGAGGTGGTTTGGGAATTGGTGATGTGGAGACCGTTAGGATTAGGGGACTATGGTCTGTGGAAAGATCATCAAGTCTTGAAATGCTATAATTAAGGGACCCTAGACCTTTGTGGATGAAAAAATCTAGGAGATCGGGATTGCGGTTAGGATCTGTTGGCCAGTATGTGGGAGAATTGGGTGAGAGGATGTTGCTGTGATGGGAATTAAGTGCAGATAGCAATGTTCGTCCTCTGGAATTTGTGGTTCTGGCTCCCCATTGCTGGTGTTTAGTAAGGAGTTAAGGAAGGAAGTTAATTGGGATTCTGAGATAGGTATTTTAGGCGGGGAGTATGCTGCAACTACTGCTATTGGGTAAGGAGATGTTTGGATTATCACGGCATTGGATTGTAGGAAATTATGGGTCGGCAAAGGGAATAGGTGATGGAAAAGGGATTGATGGATAATTATGGCAGTGCCAGCATGTGCTGTTCCATCAGGATGGTCGGTTCGATAGATATGATAGTTGGAGATGTTAAGTGGTCGTTTGTTGGTAAGTCGAGTTTCAGTTATTAATGCTACATCAATGTTTTTGTCCTGTAATAAGATTGTTAGCTCGTTGATGTGATTTCGAATACCATTCGCATTCCAAAGGAGAACGGAGAGGGATTTGATTGGGGACATTTAAGGATTTCTCGGCAGTGGGATGAGGTTGGATACAACATTGGTAAGTAAGGAAATGAGAGGAGTGATGAGTGATCTGAATTCAGAGAGAAAAGAAGTCAATAGGCTTGTGAGGTCAGTGGCATTGGGAGGAGGAGGAATGAATGCCTGGTTATTAGGCCTAGGTTCAGAGATGGGATAAGGGTCTTGAGGTTGAGATGTGAATACTCGAGGTTGAGGTTCTTGTGGCAGGGCCTGAGTTTGTGTGGGTGCAGTATCTCCTTTGAATATCTGAGCATAGGACACTCTTGTATTTACAGTTCTAGAGGGTTGTCTTGGTGGCCTGGATGGCCGTTCTTCTCTTGGAGCTGAATAAATTCTTGCTTTTAGTTCCTTATATGTTTGGCAACCCTTGTAGTTCGCTGGGTGCCCTTGATGGCATAAAGCGCATACAGCTGGTGTTCTTCTGGACTTCTGGCAGTCCTCTGTTTTATGTTTATCATCGCACCGGACACATCTAGGAATGTGGTGGCAATAGCGTTTCGTATGACCATAAGCCTGGCAGTTATGGCATTGTACAATGTCGCGCTTAGTGGAGGGCTTTTCTACAACAACGCTAGTGTAGTAAAGGCGTGTGACCTTGTAGATGTCTTCGACCTGGGGCGTTCGGTCAAGGTCAACGAAGAATAGTGGGAGCGGTATTTTATTTTTTGAGCCAGGGTGTTCTCTATCTTCCTTGAATATATTCACTATTTGGCGAACACGGAACCCCATCTCAGTTAGTTCTTCTTCAATGGCATCCAGTGGTGTTGATGGGTGTAATCTCCTGATCACCACCCTGAGCGCTCTCTCTTGACGCAGCTGATATGTGTGATAATCCGCCTTAGTGTCAGATAAATACTTGACAATTTTTCGAACAGGAACTTAGTGAATCGATTAACACTGCTCAGAGATATCTTATCCCTGGGTGTATCAAGGAAACTTACCAGGCTGGTAAGAATAACAATGTGGGATATAAGATGCCGGGTGAAGCTGCAGGTAGTACTATCCGAAGGGTTCCAGATAACGACAGAAATCTTGCAAGGAAATACAAAGGCAACCACGCTTTTTAATATGAGCTTGGAAAAATCTATGCGAGCCATTAGAACAAACCCAGGAGGCACAATCTTTAATCGCCTCACACAGCATCATGCAGATGACGTTTGGCCAAATCACTTCCAGCTCAGGCAGGAGCTCAAGAGAAGTTTGAAGTGGCAGCAGCGGCCACCATTCTGGTGAATAGATGACGTGAAGGCAGATTTGAGACGACTTCGTGTCAGGCGGTAGAGGGCTGCCGCAGCAGATCGAGAAGAGTAGCGAAGAATTGTGAAGAAGGCCCAGGTCCCTAAGGGACCGTAACGCCGAGGAAGAAGAATTGAAGAAGTTTCCATATAAAAGTTTTTTTAATTCATTCCAATTGAAATTAAAGCCAAAATTTGGCGTTTACAATTGAATTTGACTGCAACTGTAAAAATGTATATACATATGAATCAATCATCTTGTAAGCCAATTGATAAACTTTTGCATTGGATTACATTCCAAATCAATTTATCTAAGTAGTCTTTATAAACATATTGGATGTACACTATCGTATTACAATTCACAATGCAATGAAAGGATGAAAGAAAATAAATTATATTAAGTTGTATGACTTATATGCTGAACATTTTACTCTAAATTTATATGCTACTTCCGAAACAAAATAAGTTTACGATGCCTCAACATAAAACTAATGTGATCCCAACAATAATCTTTTAATATTTTTATGTAATGCGATCGTTTTTTCTGGGAAATCATTTTGAACTTGACTACTTAAAAGAACATGGAATTTCATTCATTAATTTAAATTTGTTTATAGTTTTATGCTTTTTACTTTATCTTAAATTTTGAAAGTATTTATAATTTTTAAAAACATTTATTACCTATCTACTAGTGTAGTATGACTCTTTTGTAATGAATTGTATAAACGAATATCTAACTTGTTTGGGTAATTATTGGAATACCTTTACACACTGGGAAACCACCTCGGAACCCTCATCGATAAACAACTACTGTCATGATTGTTGTAGGGTTAAAATTAGGCCTAATTCTTAAATTCTACTATTAAATGTGTTTTTTATTGTGCTTTTTCCGTTGATTCTTTGATTGCAATGTCTGTGGATCATAACAATTACTCTCTACATGAATGTGTTTTTCGGGGTGATGTTAGGAAGCTATCAGCTCTGCTAAGGACCCAAGACGTTGAAAAAAAAGATAAACATGGTAAAAAGGCTTGATACTAAAATATATTGCAAATAAAAAAATATTTATATTAGAAAAGTTAAAGTAAACACATTCTCTATAGTGAATAACTTTATATATTACCCCTAGTAATTTATTTGTTTTATCATCCTGTTCTTGTTTTCAATTTACTGTTAATTTTTATCTTATAGGTTTTAATAAATCCTATTTGTGTGCTAAACAAAAGTTGTTTCAGTTTTTTGGTAGCAAAAGTTCATTATTTACCATAGGCTGTATTATTCTTATTGTGATTAATTCTTTTGTTCATGATTCATTTTTAATGACATCTATTTTAGACCAAATGTTTCAAAGATGCCCAGTTATATTATTATTTACAGTTATATATTTACTGAATATATTATCCTTCGCAATGTGATATTGTAGCTGTTAAATCTGAACTTTTCAGAAGAGGACAAAAACCGTTTAAAAATTTTTATTTTCATCATATTGAGATTTTTGTTTTATTATTGTGTATGCTAGGTGTTGCTATTGAGCATTTATAAAAAATTAACTATCATACGGAAACTTGAGGCCAAAATAACTCTTAAATCAAATTTTATGCACTTTTATGATCATAAATATTTTATATTGGATGTTTCTTTGAAGCCGTTATCACCCAAATTGTAAATATTTTGATTTAATTACTTACTTTTTGATTCTTGTTTAAATTGCAGGAAACACAGCTCTTCACTTGGCTGTCATGCTTGGGCGAAAAGGTAAAGTCTAATGCAAATACATTACAAATTTTAAAATTTTGCCCATTAATATGTAATTACAATTTATTTTTCCCTCAGAATGTGTTCAGTTGCTGCTTGCACACAATGCACCTGTTCGAATTAAAAATGTAGCTGGATGGAGTCCTCTTGCTGAGGCAATAAGCTATGGGGATAGGCAAACAAGTATGATTTTCAATTATTATGTTGATTTGTGTTTTTATAGTAACTTCATTGATGTTAGAATGTGACTTATATCAATTAATAATTACAACAACTAATATCACAACATCGACATGCTTACGTTATGCACAGATAGTTATAATGTTAGCATGTCGTTGGTGTGATTTTAGTTCTCATAATTACTAAATGTACATGATCTTAGCATTAGTGATCTCATTTGATATAATTTCAGTATTGATATAATTAATTATACTAGCTATTCTAAATTTAAAAGACACCAACAATTGTTAGTCAGAAACCAATATGGGTCAGACTTATTTTGATGTTTTGGTTAAATTAAAAGCTTTTGATTGAAAGCATTTTTTTGTCAACTCTACACACCATCACACTTACAGTCTCTTAATGTTATCATCTGTTGCTAAAAGTGTATTGGGATTGTTTCTAATTAATATAAAGTATTATTTTTTGTATAGCCTGTGCATACTAGAACTTCATATGGGTTTGGGTAAAAGTATAGTGTGAATCGGTCTCAATTTAAATGTTGCAATTCTTATCCAAATAAACCTAGAGCTATAACAATGTTAACAATGCTTAACTCACTCTATGCATTCTAGAGTTTTTTTATTGAGCTCTGAAGAAAATTTGGCATTATTTTTTCTTCAAACGCCAAGGTGGGTTTATCAACTCTGCACTCCAAGAGCTAAAAATCTATTGTGTGCCCTCCACAATCTTACATTAGGCACAATCTATTCTGATACTCTGACCTACTGGCCATACTATACATAAAACCTCCCGACTTACTCGACTTTTTTTTAAAATCAAAAGGGCTGAAAACTGTACCTCACGCTATTAAATCAAGCTCTGATCATTCCTTGATACTCTTGGATTCCTTATGTTAAGCCTTCAGAAACAAAAAGAAATCCATCACTCATAAGAAGAAACATGGACTAGGATCTTAAGTTATCTTGAATCCAATCTGTCACTTCCTGTACCGCTCAGTACCCAAGACGAACTTGAAACAGCTGCAGATATTTTCACTTAATCAATGCCGAATGCAGCTTCTTCTTCATCAGAATCCATGACCAATGAACCTACCTTACTACTCATTATACATAAGGGATCTGATCAGATCTAAGAGAAGAGCCCTAAAATATTGGCAGACAAATAGGTTTCTGTTGTATAAATGAATATTTAACCTATCTAATAATGAACTAAAAAGGCAAATACAAAAATTTAACCAGACTTATTAATTTCTACGTAATTCTGTTAATTTTTTTATATTACTGAATTGTTTTAAAAAGTTTATTAATTTTTTTTTTTTTTTTTTTGCAAGAGTTGAAGCATATTTCTGTATTCTTTGTTATAGTTTCTTCTTTAGTGAGGAAACTGAAAGCTCAAAGCAGAGAACATATTGAAAAACGCCGTCCTAGTTTAATTAAAGCTCTTCATCAAATGGGGGATTTTTATATGGAATTAAAGTGGGATTTCACTAGTTGGGGTAAGTATTTTATATCCTGATTGTTTTTTTTATTTTTACTTTACCTAGTTTTTACCTTTGAGTTATTTGTTTTGTTTTAGTACCTCTTGTTTCTCGTATTCTACCATCTGACATTTGCAAAATACACAAGAAAGGATCGTGCATTCGTTTAGATACTACTATAGTTGATTTTAATGATATGAGATGGGATCGAGGAGATGTAAGTTTTTTATTTTTAGGCCATGTGAGACCATCTGAAGCTCTTACAGTATTGGACAATAAAGCATTTGTATATCAGAAAGTAAGACATGAGGTAAGATTTTTATTATATTTCTAAATTTTATTTTTTAATCAATAAAGCATAAATCAATTTAGTTTGCAAACTAGGTTTTTAAATTTCTCTTTAAAATATATTTTTTATTGTTTTTTCATGAAAGTTTTCGCTGGTCTAAATGTTTCTGAAATTAGTCATCTTATTAATGAAATCATAATTGAAGAATGTTGTTGAAAAATTGTCATAAGATTATTAAGCTCCTGTCTAATTATGAATCTTTAATTTGTTTTTAGGAGACAGAAATGGAGATTGAAGATGAAGTGGACATTCTAATGAGTAGCGATATAGTTGCTGTTCAAATGTCAACCAAATCAATAACATTTTCTAGGGCTCAGTCTGGTTGGTTTTTTAGAGAAGATAGAAAAGTAAGTAAAATATGCCTTATTTATGTTAGATATTGCAGTTAAATATTTTTAGGCTTAGAAAGATTTATTTTTTAAATACATCAGATTCTTTTTACTCCAACCTTAGTATATTTATCTTTATCTTTCAGTTGTTTCATGGCAACATGAGTTACTTTCTACTGGAGACCAATTGGATTGTGTACCACAGAATTGTTTTAACAATTCTTGAAAGACCTATTCAAAGTAAATGATGTATTTATAAATGAGGGGACCCCCCAAAAAAAAATTCATATTTATCAATATTTGTACACAAAATTTTGGCCACCTTCGAAGTATCTCCCATTGACTGTAATGATCATGTTCAATCGTTTCTGCCAATGTTCAAAACTTTTTTTAAATTCACAAAACTTTTAAATTCACTTCACATTATGATCTTTTAGCCCTTCCAGTGATTTTCGTTTTATCTCCATCCTTTCATTTCTCTTTTGAGTATAGGTCACAGGAAGAAGTCATGTCTGGTGAAAAGGGAGTGAACAATCAGTGTCATGCCATTTTTTGTTAAAAACGGCTTCACTGACAGAACAGTGTGGGCAGGTTAGTTTATCATGGTGAAAGAACCAACTTTTATGCTCCAGAGATATACTCTTTTCTTCCGGATATTGTCCAATGGTTCAGTGACATTCTTCACTAACAAGGCCATTGGTTCTTGAAGTTTAGGTGTGTCCAGGACAAGGTTGGGCTTTAATCATTATCTCTCCATTCTTGAAATGTGAAAACACATGTTTTGTGTTAGCAAGAGTTTTGTTAGGGCATCATTCCCATAAGCTGTTTTAAGCATAACAGAGCCATCTCAAGTTTTTGCTTAAATGATAAAAGTTGTTTTACTGAAAAAATTCTCACGGAACAGATGCAATGAAGTGACCAAATTTCAACCCTGTCTCAAGGGGAGTTCCCTTACAGAACCAAAAATCTCCTTAACACAGCCCCGTTTCTGAAACTTTTATTTGATATATAAATATATATATATATATATATATATATATATATATATATATATATATATATATATATATATACTCATCTGATGAAATATTTAGGAAAAATGCCTGATAATGGCCTACAACAGCTGAAATATAATAAAGAAAAATTTATTGTGAGGCAGCAAAAAGAGTAGTATAATTTGAAAATAATTTTTGATAGTTTGGTCATTTTTAATGACTAATTAATTAATAGTTAGCAATTATTATATTTGTTAAAAGTATTAATTTGTAAACTAATTATATAATTTGATATTAAATGACGGTAATACAAAATATGTGGTATTAGAATAATCCACTTCAACAACAGGAGCCACATAGCTGGAAAATCTACTAAACTAAAAGTTGACCGATTCTTGACAGAGTAAACCTTGTTTCCACTATAATCTTGATAAATGACCCACTATCAGAAATAGACCAGCATATAAAGAAAAATCTACAGTAATCTCAAATTCTGGATGTAAAATGCTGTGATAAAGGCAGTTCTGATATAGGTTTGAGATCTGATCACTAACCAGCACCCTAGAAAGAAGTATTAAGAGGTTGGGGAGAAAAATCCTCCGCACTTGTAGGCTGATTTGCTCAGCTTCCCTTACTGGAGTTTTAACAATTCTCTCCATGTCCTACTGATTGTTTCTAATGATAGCTATATCATCTGCATATAAGGACTCAACATTTAATAAATATATCCTTTAACTATAAAGGAAATGTATTGAAATCTTGAAAAATCTCTATAATAACACTTATAATACTATAATACGTATAATACTATGATGAATCAAGCTATGAATGGTTGCTAGACCTATAGATTAACCAACACCCTAGTATGAAGTCTTGAGAAATTGAAGAGGAAAATCCTGAACACGACCGGAGTGATCTGAGATCTGAGATCTGAGTAGTAATGTATGGAAGAGAAGCACCAATAAAAAACTGCTTAAAGAAACTTAGTCCAGTCAGGAAAGAAGTATACCAAAAATGTCTCAGTAGTGGCAGTAATGTCTGGCTGGCTAGTGGCTGATTACATTGATCACTGGGTTTTGATTTATTTTTAGTAATAAGTAGTTATTTTATTCATTTTTTCTCCTCTAACTACTTACTTACTTACTTCCGGTGTTCCAATGTGGGAGACCTCTTCAGGTCAGAGCAGAGCTCCACACATCTCTATCCTCCCAGTCACCCTCCTGTAGACCTAGACCGGCCATCTCTTCCCGGACTCCTTCCATCCACATGATCCTTGGTCGTCCTCGCCTACGCTTTCTGGGTGGCTGCCAGTCCAGGACTCTGTTCAGCCAATGCTCTTCTGACATTTTCCTGCAGTGCCCATACCTCCTCAATCGCCGTTTCCCGATCCTCTCAGAGACGATCTCCTCTACACCTATTCTCTGTCTCACCACTTCATTTCGGACTCTGTCCAGCCTCGTTAACTGTAGAGACCTTCTCCAAAAATCCATTTCTACAGTCCGAATTTTGGCATACAAGCCAGCATTCATTGACCATGTCTCACATCCGTAGGTTAATATGGACTCGACATTAGCCGTGAAGATACGCCGCTTGTTCGCGTTTGAAATAGTGCCGTTCTAGAGAACAGGATGCAGCATTCTAGTAGCTTTTCTTGCCATCTCGACATTGTTTCGGACATCCACTTCGGGCGTTCCAACATCGTCCAGATAGGACCCGAGGTATTTAAATGCCTTTACTCTTTTACATACCTGTTCACCTATGCGTAGGTCGTCTTCCTCATCTCCCAGTGCCATATACTCAGTCTTTTGGAAGTTTATCCTGAGACCTGCCTCTTCATAAGCTTTCTTTAATTGGACAACCACCATCTCCAGGAAAACTTTCTTCCGGGCCATCACTACTTGATCATCTGCGAAGAACAGGGTAAGGCTCGACTTCGTCATCCATTGCTTCACTACCTCATCCAAGTAAACCTTGAAAATGCTCCTCTAACTATATTCTTAAATAAAAGTATTTGAAAGAAACTAACAGTGTTACAACTGTTAATGGTGAGTGGAAAATCAAAAGTAATAATGAAATCGAAGATATATTGGAGGATCAAAACATTACTAACTATATCAAGGCAAGTATGTTGAGATGTGCTGGCCAGAATGGAGAATGAACGGGTACAGAAGGAAATATTGGAAGCACACTTCAGTGGGAAGAGGAAAAGAGGAAGGCCGAGAAGCAGATGGAAAGATGAAGTGGAAAGAGACACGAGAAGCACAGGGCAGTGAGAAGTGAAGAAGAATAACTCAGAAGGCCAAGGGTCATGCTGGCCTGTAGCAAGGGGAGTTAGTTATATTTTTAAAACTATTTACTAAGAAACCATTTCCTTGCTGATAAAGGCACAATATTTTTTTTTAATATATTCTTTACAAAAATGTTTAGAAGTTAGTATTATACATAATGTTTCTATTGTATTCTTCTTCTTTGTTCTTCCGATTAAATGGTCATGTCCAATGACAAAGTTAAAACGGTCTATTGTATTTATGTTCTAAGAGACTGCTTCAATATATTTATATGCTAATGAAATGACTTTCAATGTTAGTGAATTCCATAAAAGGTTTATACCAATGTTTCACTTTTTATTTTTATCATCAATTAAATATCTTTATCACTTAAACTGTGATGATTTTCTGAGCATCTGTTGTATTACCTATCATTTTAATACATGAAAACATTTTTAGGTATTTATGTATTTTATGTTGTTTAGGAAACAGTTGGAAATTTCCAAGCCGATGTTTATGATATTAATGGTATGATACTAGATTCTAGAAAAAGGCGAGAACATCTTTCAGAAGAGGATTTACAAAAAAATAAAGCAATAATGGAAAAACTAACTAAAGGAAATACTCAGATTATTGACTGGAATGGAGAGGTAATGAAGCTATTTTTTCTTTCCTCTAAAGAAATTTTATTTTTGAAATTTAGTGGTTATTCATTACTTAAGGGTTTAAATGATTTTTTATTTCATTAAAATTTAAAAAAAAAAAATTTATAACAAAAATGTTCTATTGTTTTAATTTTACCAATAAACATGTTTCTTTTACTTATATTTCCTTGGTACTCAAAAAACTTTCATTCATATTTATGTAAATAATATTGTAGTTGTTACGAAGAAATTCACTTACACCTCCTCCTGAAAGTGGTGTGAGTTGGGAACAGTATATATCAGCTCTTCCTGGAGACCATCCACCATTAGGAAGAAGATTGGTTAACAAAGAGACAAGCAGAGCTTTCAGAGCTACAGTTGCTATGGTAGTTGCATATTGAAATATTAAATATTTTTATAAGTTATTTTTTTATAATAATTTAAAAAAATTCAAACAGAAATATCATTAAGTAAATAAAATACATTATTTACTTTCATACTTCATTTTATTTATGTATATTTTATTAGTTTATATTTGGGTTGAATGAATGAAAACATGTTTATTATCATGAAGACCAATAGATACAAAATATAATATTCATATAAATGTTACAACACATAGACAGTGGAAAATTCTGTCTGTCGAGGTCTGTATGACATTTTTACAAAATATGCTCCTTTTTACATCTCTAATATATAAAAAAAGTTTTTAGTGACTTTCATATTTTATTTTATTTTAGTATTAGAATAGTAGAAGATAACATGAGCTTGGCGATTATTTTACAAATTATACAGCTGTTCCTTTCCTCATATATGTTTTGAGCTCCTCCTACCATGTGCTCTCCTAATACGAAATAAAGATTTTAGACTGAAAATTTGTATGTGCAATGGCTTTTTTTATGTTGACAAAATTTGTTTTACGTTGATAAAAAAATAATTATCTGAACTACAGAATACATGTAAATTATAGTTATACTATTTGAGCAACGAGCAGTACAATTAAATGAACAGTTGTATAATTTGTAAAATGGGGATCGGTCTGCCGTTAAGCAGACAGAGGGTACCTCTCCTTATTATTATTAATTACATTTTAGCATTTTTTTCTCAGTTCTCAACTCTTTAAAAATAAAAAAACAAAAGTTTTTTTTTTTAAATAAACCTTAAAAGTTTGTAAAACCTAACCAACAAGCAATATGATATTAAATAATTGACTAGATTAAGTATTTTCTATAAGAAATAATAAACATCATAACAATAAAAAAAACGCTGCAAATGATTTCACAATGGTTTATTATCTCCAAACAATTATACATCTAAAGTAACATAACCTTCGAAGTTACAAAGAAAACAAAACAAAAGGTGATTCCAATTATTGGACTAAACTGTTTTTCTTTAATCATTAGTAATATGCTAAAAAAAAAAATAGCATTATTTCAGTAACACATTTAAAATTTAAAAACCAAACCAAGGATATACCATTTGGAGTAGAACACATAAAAACAAACCAGAGACCATATCTTTGCTCCTAATTGTCCGATTTTAACTTTTTTTTTTTTTTTATTTTTTTTTTTAGGAAATTTCATAAACTTTTAAAAAACCATATACAATAACAACAAAAAAGTAAAAAATTTTCGAGTTATTTGGAATTTAATTTTAACATCCCTCATAACTTTTTTTCCAGCTTCTTTTTGTTGAAGTATGTTATATAGATAAATTTAAAGGGCGTCGAGAAAATTACTTTAGCGAAGTTTCATTGAAATCTGTACATTCGTTTAGGAGCTACAGTCTATAGCAACGCAGGTTTTTTGGCCGCCATTTTGAAAGTTAAAGGCGGAGAGTAGTGTCGATGAATGAGGATCATCCTCGGGTGACCTCTGATTTTATATCAAAATTTTAAAAAATCGGTCTAGTAGTTTCAGAGAAAATGTGCGGACGGCGGACGGACAAAAAAATTTTTATTCGTTTTTCGAATTCTACGCATCTTGAAACGTGAAACCTCAAATTTTGGGAGAGGGTTATGTTTTTGAATTTTTTGGTCGATCACAATGTTTCATTATTGAAAATAATAAACCAACAAATACTATCCACAAGAGATAAATAAGGCATTTCACTAATTATTCACTTAGTGAAAAGCTGGGCTCTTTACAATGTAGCTTGCTGTATGTAATTACTAAAGGCTTTCCAATTAGCGAAGCAGATGAGACCATTAATGATGAGCCCTCGCGCTGGCTCATTACCGCGTATGGGGAGCGTCCCACGGGTGGCGGATGTGGGGATGGTCGGTGGAAATTCCTTGGAAGTTCCTCCCGGCTAAGTCCGATGGACTCGCTGACCAACAATGAGAGGGGCCCTCCAGACTTGCTGGAGGGAGGGGTCCTCCAGACTTGCTGGAGGTAGGGGCCCACCAGACTTGCTGGAGGGTGTGACGTAGGATTGAACGCCCTACTCACATATCTTTAGTTCACCAAACACAACAAATAGTCATGGATCTCCCTAAGGTAAAACGCTCATTATCCGGAAGTAAACTAGTCCCCCGTTCGGGTCTCCGGGTGGGGACTGCTTTAGGGGATTCATGGCGCAAGTTGAAATATAGGGATTTAAATATTGGTACGTGGAACGTAAGGAGTTTAAACACAGCAGGGGGGCTAAAATCGGTCGCGAATCAGGTGAATGGGTACAATTTGGATGTCGTGGCTCTGCAAGAGGTTCGCTGGCCAGGGGAGGGCTCGATGAGGGAAGGAAAGTACACTATTTGGTACGGAGGAAGCGGGAATCATTGCTTGGGTACCGGGTTTCTAATTAGGAGTAGATTACTATCCGCTTTGAGGGACATACAATTCTTTAGTGATAGAATTTTGGTAGCTACATTTCAGGGACGTTGGTTTAAAATCGCATTAATAAACATACATTGTCCTACCGAAGACAGTGACGATGAAGTCAAAAGTGAATTTTACGATAAACTTGAATGGGTTTATGATAAACTACCACGAAACTACATGAAAATAATTATAGGTGACGCGAATGCAAAGGTAGGAAGGGAAGAAGTTTATATTCCGACGATTGGTAAAGAAAGTTTGCACGAATATAGTAATGATAATGGGATCCGTCTGATAAACTTTGCCATCTCGAAAACCTGATAATTAAAAGTACGACGTTTAAACATAAGGATATTCATAAATATACTTGGACATCACCGGATTCGCAAACACGAAATCAAATCGATCATGTCTTGATACAACATAGCTGGCAAAGCAGTATAATTAATGTACGGTCTTATCGCGGAGCAGAATGTGGGTCGGATCATGAATTAGTAATCGCGAAACTTCGACAAAAACTTAATATAAAAAAGAGAAAACAAAACCATTTCGATTTTGAGAATTTTAATTTGGACAAATTAAGAAATCCATCAATTAGAACCCAATTCGAGCTAGATGTTAAGAATAGGTTTGAAGCTTTAGAGCTTCCTGAAGAGGACCACGAGGATATTGACAAGTTATGGGTAGAGATCAGGGATAATATTAAAGCGGTCGGTAACTCGTGTTTAGGAAAAAAGGAAAATAAGAATAACAAACCGTGGTTTGGTGAAGATTGCTTAAACATGTGCGAAAAACGAAAAGCCGCTAAATTAAAAGCTCTAAATAATCCTAGCGAAGACAATCTGGAATACTTCCGAACCTCAAAGAACGAAACGACAAAATTGCTCAAAAATAAAAAAAGGGAGTATCTTAAAAATAAAATAATTGAAATAGAAACTAATAGAATCGAGAATAACGTAAGAGACATGTACAAAGGTATAAACAGATCACGTAAATGTGTAGGGCCCATAACGTCTGGAATCAGGGATGATAATAACAATATTCTGACCGATCCGGCTGACATATTGAATAAATTTAAGGACCACTTTGACAATATTTTAAATACGGGAAATTATGATCTGTGTCCTCCTTCTGACTACCAGAGTGCTGAACCGTTAATAGAAGGACCAAGTAAAGAGGAAGTTGAATTAGCTATCGGAAAATTAAAATCTTATAAAGCAGCGGGAACCGACAATATTCCCACTGAACTAATTAAGGCATGCGGGGAAGCTGGAGTTTCTAAAATACATCGGTTGGTTAAAAAGATCTGGGTGAATGAGAAATTACCTGAAGAATGGAAAGAATCTATTCTTATTCCGATTCACAAAAAGGGTCCGAGGACGGATTGTAATAACTATCGAGGAATTTCACTCCTTCCGGTATGTTATAAAATATTTACTTTAATCTTAACCAGTCGAATCACGGAATACGCTGAGGAAATTTTCGGAGACTACCAATGCGGATTTAGACGGAATCGTTCGACTATTGATCAAATATTTTCTTTGCAGCAAATATTAGAGAAAAAATTGGAGTACAAAGGTATTGTTCACCAGCTGTATACAGATTTTAAAAAGGCTTACGATTCTATTGACCGCCAGAAACTGTATAATATTCTAATCGAGCAGGGGATTCCTAAAAAATTCGTAAATCTAGTCAGGATGTGCTTGACGGAGACACTCAATAAAGTTAGAATCGGTAATAATCTGTCCTAAAAATTTGAGGTTCGTTCGGGTTTAAAACAGGGGGATTCTCTTTCGCCTGTCCTGTTCAATTTGGCATTAGAACATGCCATTAGGGAGGTAATGCGTACCGAGAAAGGGTTGGATCTGGGTGGGACAACATCCGTGCTCGGTTATGCGGATGATCTGGTACTGTTAAGCGAAGACCTTGAAACTATAAAACTAAATACGACAACGTTAATGAAAGCCGGTAAAGAACTAGGACTCGAAATAAACGTGGATAAAACAAAATATATGGTTAGCTGCAAAAATAGCGATACTACTGGTGATATCGATATAGATGGTAATGTGTTTGAACAGGTAGACAAATTTAGGTATCTAGGTTCTACGATAACTAGAAAAAACGAAATTGAAGAAGAAATTAAGGTTAGGCTGAAGGCGGGAAATGCTTGTTATTTTTCTGTGACAAAACTACTCAGTTCGTGCCTCTTGTCCCGGAACTTAAAAATTAGAATCTATAAAACAATTATCTTGCCTGCAGTTCTTTATGGGTGCGAAACTTGGCGGCTTACATTAAGGGATGAGCAGCGTCTTAAGGTTTTTGAAAATAAGGTTTTGCGCAGAATATTCGGACTGAAGAAGGATGAGTTAACCGGAGAGTTCAGACGGTTACACAACGCCGAATTGCGTGAACTGTATCCGGGTAATATAATTGAGGTAATTTCATCGCGGCGAATCAAATGGGCTTGTAAAGTTGTTGGACTTAGTAACGAGAGAATTCCTAAAAGGTTAATATTTGCTGTGCCGAATGGTAAGCGTCCGAAGGGTAGACCGAGGCGAAGGTGGGAAGATTGCATTAAAGCCGATCTGAAGGGACTGGGTTTGGACGGAGAACGATGGAGGGAGGTGTGCAATAAGCGATTGGTGGTGTGGTATCGAACCTTCGGGTTCGCTAAGCCTTTTATTATTATTATTATTATTTCCAATTAGCACCTTTCAATAGATTAAATAATTTTTCTGGCGAACATGTCTGCTGACCAAAATATTTTTTTCTAATCTCGCTGTAGATATGACAGAACCCCAGGAAGTGAATGTCTTCTTTTTTGTTGGAATTACAAATTATCATTGTCCTCCTGTAACCACAGTTTAACAGTTAAAATCAGGAATTCCATCCTGCATCGGAAAATCTACCTTATCGATACAAGATCAAATCTGTCATTGAGATAAACTGATACAGTATCAAAATCACATCATTGCATATATTGAAAAGCTGGACTGAAAACATTTTTTGAGGTTGGTTTGTTTTTCTAATTCCTAAACCTTATGTTTAACTGTGATCAAATTTACTCGTAGGTCGCCAATATTTGAAATATCAAGCTTAATTTGATAAAACTGCTCTAATTCCAACCACTTCCAGTATCAAACAACTTTATTTTTTACAACTTATTTTGTTAGAAGATGGGACAAACAGAAATTAGGCATCTCCTAAACTTTTAAAATATAATCAGAATGTATTTTTAGCGTATAAGAGCATATCGATGCAAGACCTGATTCATGTGCTAAAATATAACTAGATGCATACCATGGGAGATGCAATAATTTTTTTTGCAAAATATCTTTTAAATTTTTCCAAAACCTCAAAAGGCTCGAAATCCCAAACCTGTCCAGCATCACTAATCACCGCACGAGAGACTGACTAATAAACTTCTAGTTTACTTGAGTCGGGGACATTTTTGTTAGCTATGAAATTATGTCAAGTCGAATTTAGACCAAATTTTGCATGACTAACTCTTTCAAAAAAGTGACACCCTATGACCAATCTTAGGGTAGTGATAACACCTAGATATTTATATTCATTTACTAACTCAACTTGATTTCCTCCAAATTTTCACCTCAAATTTGGGTAGTCTGCCCCCATTGCAGAAAACTATGATTTTTGATTTGGCTAGATTTATGTGTAGGTTCCACATATTGCAGTAATTCTCCAGGTGGTTTATCATACGCTTTAATTTAACTGGGGAGGGGGCCAATAGTACTACGTCGTCTGCATACAATACACACCTAAAATTTACTCCAGCAATTTCTAGCCCTTCTTCCAAATTGTTGTATAAATCGTTCATAAATAGTGCAAATAGTAAATGGCTAATCAGACTACCCTGTCTTAACCCAACTGATGTTTGAAAAAAGTCAGTAAGTCCTTCTTTATGGTATACCATAGCTTTAGTATTTGAATGTAAAATCATTAAGATATTTAAAAATTTATGGGACAGCCCAAGATTAGCCAACTTAAAAATAGAGCATCTCTATCTAGGTATAGTGTAAAATTTGACATCAACACTATGTACTTCAATTTAATCTCATCTAATCTAACAAATTGTCATGCCACATTGCTTATAGTTGAATTATTTTTTATACCTAACAAGCGTCCACCACTTGCTTTACCTTTCATGTAAGTTTTATTTGCTTTAATATTAATAATTTTAGTAACATTAATCAAATTGAAAGTCACTAAAATATTTTTCATATTTTAAGGTTTAACTAAGATTGTTTCATATAGAGCTATGATTTTTATAAATTGAAGAAAAAAAACATCATAGGCTATTTTATCAGCTAAGCCCTCTACATTAAATGAATATATTTTTAAGAGAATTATTGTATAAGACTTACTTATTTTGACCTGACAGACGGGTTTGTTTCATTTACTATTATTATTTTGGTTCATAGTATTTTTTGAAGCAACACCAGTTTCTCTTCTTTCTTCTGAATTTTCTTCTTCTTCTTTTCTTCAAATTCTTAATTGTTTCTGAAAAGTCTGTATTAGTGATTAATTTTAACTTTTTTATACCATTTTCATTTCTGAACCTTTAGATTCACTAGAAAATTCAGCACAAATAATTTTCTTATACAGTTGCCTATATATCGAGATTGTTTTGTATTTTCTGACATATCTAGGGTATTACTGCAGAAATGTTTAATTCATTGTGTACAGTCCTCAGAAGATGCTACATTGATACCTTTAATAATAACATTATTCCCCTTTATTTATTTGTTTTCCTCTGAATAAATTCTACCTGTCTGAATAAAATTTGTTCATTTCTTGTTGTGATTGTAATTCCTGTGTCAACATTGCATTTTTTAAGATAATTGTTCAATTTTATTTGAGAAGGCTATATCATTTTGATATCATTATATCATTGCTAGATCATTTTTTGTAGCCACTGTTTCCAGTTTTTATTCACTGTTTGCAATTTGTTATCAATTAATGTATCAGAGATCTCATTAATTGATTCAAGGATAAGCTAATAATTGGAGTATGTCTTCAAAGTTCTCTGAAAATTTTCTTTTTCTTCATTATCGTAATCATAAGCTTTTCTTCATTTACTTTTATCCAATACCAGTGAAAAATAAGTTTCCAAAATATTATTAGGCATTTTTTTATTATCAGGCAAATTATTCACTATTTGAAATTTGTTATCAATTAATGTATCAAAGATTTCAATAATTGATTCAAGGATAAGCTAATAATTGGGGTATCTTCAAAGTTCTCTGAAAAGTTTCTTTTTCTTCCTTCTTCTTCGTTATCGGAATCATAACTTTTTTTTCATTTACTTTTATCTAACACCAGTGAAAAATAAGTTTCCAAAATATTAGGCATTTTTTTCTCAAAAATCAATCAAGTACCATCTTGATAACATATCAAATACCAGCTTAATTTTGCCTTAGTATTTCTTCTTTTTTTTTTTAACAGTTAAAAATAAACTCTCTAAAAAGTCTTCTTTGTGTACATTTGAGCCAGAAAAAGTAATGCTCAATAAAACTAAAGGGGGTGGAATGGAAATGATCAGTACCCATAAACTATGTGTACCTGTGTACAGTTCAGGAACCAGGTGTACAGAAGAACTCATCCAGATTAGATAAACTTTGTAATTGGATCTTTCTGAAGATGCAGTAAACAGAAGATGAGATCATTATCAAGTAGCCCTCAAACAAACTGCAGGAGTACTGGGTATGAAAGAAATCCACCTGATGTCGGGATGATTTGACTTAGAATGGCAGGCAGTGAGGAACAGGAAAAATGAGGCTTATAAGAGAAGCACAGAACTGGTGAAGCAGTTAAGGAATATAAGGTGTGGAGATAAATGCATCCATAGTAAAAAAAAAAAAAAGAGGATAAAAGGAGTAGAAAAAATAAAATAAATTGAAGAAATATAAAGCCTTCTAGATGCTGAAGTCTTCTACATGACTTTAAAGCCTCAGCACATGAAATTCAAGGTTAGAATCTGTGGTTGCCCAGGAGAGGATAATGTTCAATCTTCAACCCCCCAAAACTGAAGTAAAATGGTTTGAAATGTTAGGAATATGGTTTCCCATTGTCAAGTTAAAACAGATGATAGTAGAACAAAAAATAATAAAATGCATACTGTTACCAAATGGTCATGTTTATCCTTCAAGGATTATTCTGGATATTTTACTAGCCGAGTAAATATTCATGATTTATCTTTCCCTTGATTAAAAATATTTCTTCATAAGATTTTCTTGTATTGGATTATTTCAGATTTATTATCTTTCATAATGCAGTATTGTTCTCCTATTTACAGAGTCCAGATTTTCCTTTGTCTGTGGAAATGCTTCTGGATGTTTTAGAAGTTATTGCACCAATTAAACATCTCAATAAATTAAGAGAGTTCATACAGTTGAAGCTTCCTCCAGGATTTCCAGTAAAATTAGGTAAATGATTTACTAATTATTTGTTTATAAAATATATGAATATTATTGAAATTTATGGTTGGGAGTACTTTAAAAGGTATAAAAGTAAGTAATAATGATTTACTGTTTGTGCCTGAGGATTCCATCTTAGCTTTAACCTTTATCCTAATCAATGTGACGCGGTCCCGTCTGGATCACAGAAAGTCTGGATTTAAAAGAATTTGATGTAAAATATGCATGATAAATATTTTAGCATTTTTTCTTATATACAAACTTTTTCTTCAGCTTAATTTTATCTTTCATAATACATAATGGATAAATTGATACAAATTTTGGACCTGTGAACTGAAAATGTTGACAAAACAGAACATCTTTATGATTGAAACTCAAAATTTATAAACATAACCTATTTTTTGTAAAATTGACATTATACCCAAATTTTTATGAGACTACAATGGACCAGCAAATTTTCATCGTAGCCAACTTAGTTGGGATATTGGAGAAATATTGATATATCTATTTCGTTGTCTGATGTTATTTATAGCAATACATTGATATTATAATTTGACAGAAAATGGTATTTTTATGTGGGGCTCAACAACAGAAGAGCGAAAACAAACTTTTTGAAAATGATCTGGTGGTGTGATGTGTTCATGTTGCTAAAGGCTAAATCCAATTCCCGTTTCATATGTTTGCGACATTTTAAATTAAATAGATATGAATACTGATGCTTATTTCAAATTTTAGCTTTAGCTGTTAGATTGAAACAACACATTTACTATATGAATGACTTAACTACCACTCAACATTTGAAAATTGTTCAGTTTTTCTACAGAAGTAACGATTCTGTGATAACTGAGTATAGACTTTTATGGGAAGATAATGGTTGATTTAAACGTCGTATTAAACAAGGAATTCGCAATATTGTACAAAAGTTCGAGGAAATTATAAACATTGGAGATAGAAAATCGATGTGCATTAACATGATGTTCTTTGAACTGAGGATATTTCTTCTGTGAGTGATAGCGTAGCCGAAGTAGAGAATTATCAATTTACAGTAGAGTTTGGCTCATTCTTATTGCTCCATTTGTCTCATTTTGCCTAGGAACCCACACCCACATAAAATAAAGTTAACTCAAGAACTGAAGCCCAGAAACCATGAAGACCGAAGAATTTAAGCTTATTGAGTGTTAAAGTAGCAGGAAGTTGATGCTAATTTTTTAAAGAAAATTATCTTCTCTGATAAAGCTCACTTCCAGATATCTGGGCATGTTAATAAATAAAATTGCCACATTTCGGGTGAGAAAAATCTTCACGTGGTACACAAGATACCATTGCATGCCTAAAAAGTTACTTTGTGGTGTGCATTGTGGTCAGGGATCATAATTGTGCCTTACATGTTTTTGAAAGCGATGAAATTTTAACAGTCAGCAGTGAGCATTATGGGCGCATGATATACCAATTAAAAGTATCTTGAACAAATAACTGATGTAGAATGTCCTTAAGTGGCCATTTGGCTGACATAATTTTTCGTATTAAATGAATTATACTAAATATTCAAATAACTAAGATAATATTACATTTTGCGTGAAGTTAAGAAACTCAAATTTGATCACCCTTTATAACATGGCCAATATTTCCTACTTCTAATAGATTTTCTAAAATCTTTTCATTATTTTATCAAGGATGCTGGTTAGTAGTATCCTGCTCCATATATCAGAACAGACTTTGTCATAACATTATACACTCTTAATTTAGAACAATATACATATATATCATTTATTTGTTTACTATAGATATTCCTATTCTGCCAACCGTTACTGCCAAGATTACTTTTCAAGATTTTGCCTTTCGTGATGATATAGATCAAAAGTTGTTTGAAATTCCACCATATTATAAAGAGGATCCAAACAGGTAAGATTAATTTTAAACATAATATTGTAATGATTAAGGTGTTTTTAGAGTTTTCATGAAATTTTCAATAATCTTGTGGTTTGTAGTTGATGAAAGTGAATTACTGTTTTATTTCTTAACTTAGCATCAATATTGTGTCAAATATTTATCGGGTCATCTCATAATTAATGTTGGGATTCCAATAATTTATTTATTTTTTTAATGCAGTTAGTTTTTAACTGAACAAAATTTGACTAAATTTAATTTTTAATATTACGTACCCAAACAATTTTTTAGTTCCTCGCTCTCAAAGGTAACAAAGCTTTGTAATCATGCGGAAGGTGAAACAAATTTTTATTATGCTATTACCACTCATGTTATAGGTTTTAGACATCAGGGAGCTAATTTGGTTCCATGCCTGTTTTCAGTCAAATTCATTTGACATACCTTACACCTACTACCAGTAAACCAATTTTATGATATGTTAAGGAATAGCGGTGGGCAGGGTGTGCAAAACACACGTTTGGCTTCATGGATAACCAGATACTTGATAAATTGTAGATTACATGTTAAAATAATCACGAGTTCTCGTTCTGGTGCCGGGGAGAGGGGGAAAATGGTTTAAGTTTGCCATTATTCTCCTGCCCTCTCACCTGACCCAAGGAAAAAAACCCGAATTGCTTATTAGGTGTGGAAGGGGAGGACTAAAAAACATGTTAAGGAATAATTTGGAATGACATTTATGGTCCCATATCAATATCAGTATCATTATATTCCATTCACTAGTTTCGCAATGCTTTTTCTTAGACATGCTTATATATTTCAAAAATGGCTCATTTCATTTGGCTTAACATTGGAAGAAAACAGGGAATCAGTGAAAAATGGTACTGTATCAATTTTACCTAAGTCCACCCGCTACTTATATATGCACAAATGTATTTTAATTGATACCTCTATATTTCCAAAAATCGATTTGACTGCAAATTTGAGGAAGATTAGAGATTCATATTGCTATTATCGATTCAATATGCTTTATTTTATTTTATTTTTTTCCTCCCCTATCTCGCCTTTTAGGCTATGTGGGGGTTTTCTCAGGCCAGAGGATGAGGGGAGGGAATTAATGCCAGAGTTAAAAGACTCCGGCACCAGGACGCGAAATTTATTTTGTTGTCTGTAACTTGTTATCAGGTTGCTGTGCACATGTTTTAGCCTGCTCGGCCACCCTACCCCTATTTTCAATTCAATTGTATTGTTACCATCAAATTTAATTTGATTTGATCAACTGGTATTAGTACCATTAAAAATTAGTATAGATTGCTCAAAAGCAGAAGAAAGTTAGATATTAGTTTTATAAGATCTATTTTTAGATAAATGGTGTGTTTCGTAATTTCTCACCTATTAATTTGCCAATCTTTCCCCCTCCCCTTTTTTTTTTATTTCATAGTTTCATCGAGTGTTTGAGGGTGTATATTATCTACTGTCTGTGTTGGATCGATAGCTATTTGGAAGTGTTTGTTTCTTTGTTCTTAGAAAAACTTAAATCTATTATTGAAAAACTATTGTTTTTAGAGATGGACCTATATCGAAATTTTGGCTGATACCGATATTTCAAAGGCTGATATGCTTATATACCTGCCATATCGCCCTTTTTTCTCTTTTCTGTCTAGGTTTGTAGGAATAATTTACTTACTGCTAAAAAAAAAGAAGTATAAATAGACCATTTATGCATCGATTTATACACAAACTTTGACCAATAAAACAGTAGTAAACCTATGTTTTAACATATTGGCCTTTCATTCTGAATGTCTGGTTTTGAACATGGCATAGAAAATTCTCGTAATTGCTGAATGAAAGTGTCGTAAGGGTTAAACCAATATTCCAACAATATATTTAATCGAAATATATATACACACATATATATATATATATATATATATATATATATATATATATATATATATTTTTTTTTTTTTTTTTTTTTCGTCCTCTCCTTCCCCTTATTTGAAAAGATAGTGATTTTTCAAAGAGCAATATATTGGCCTCACGACCACATTTGATTGAAATTCGTACTTAAAATATTATTTGTATTGCTAATAAATGTGGCAATCAATCGTAAGGGATCGACATTAGCATAAATTCGATCAAAGGGCGATGTATCAGACTTATAACTTTATTTTATTGAGATTGGTAAGCTTTGACAATTTTTTTATTTATATATATTTATTTTTGACTGCAGGGGCTAGCTGATAGGCACAGCTAGCGAGGATCAACACTCCCCGGTTCCCTAAATTCAGTATACTGCACCAACACCCTCAGAACAGTACACTTTACATTTACTGTGACACATGGACATATATAGTAATCACTCCTTCCCTGGGAAGACTCATTGGCCATTGGGTATATAATGGCCTTAGTTGTCCCGAGGTAACAGATCCTTCTTTACTGGGATAATCACTTGTAAAGGAGTAAAGAGAACCACATATGGCCTCGAAACAAATGGAATTGACGTGGCATGGAGAATAATTTAAGGCTAATTTTTTTATGTGAAAGTATATCCAAAGGATTGGAGGAAAAATTCTCCAACAAATGAAGCAACTCTACAGGGACGATCAGACTTGACAGCATTGGATTGAGGCCCATCCAGCTAGTTATGGCACAAGGAGGAAGATAGAGAGAGTGTGAGAGGGAATGATAGATATTTATTTTTATCTATGCTCAAATTTATGTTTTATGTTGATCCCTTGATGATGGATTGAAACAATCATTAACATTAAATGATATCCAAAGTGAAATTCTTTGAAATCTCGGTAAAATAAGTTCGTTAGGCCGATATATCGGTCTTTAGAATATCACTATCTGCACAAATTTGAAGAAGAGTAGGAGCAAATTGTTTTTTAAACTATAATTGGGTGTTTTCACCTGTGTTTAGTTGTACCGCCGAAGTATTATTTTAAAGGTATTTCATAATGGTTCTACCTCTAAGATTTAAATCGAGAAGCAAGGGACTGCATAAGGAGTTGTGAGGATATAATCTCCCAATAGAAGGAAGGTTCTTAGAAGCTGGTTGACAATGTTTTTATTATCTTGGTAGAAAAAAAAAATTCTTAGGTGGAAAAATTATGCGGGTGGTGTGTATATATTCATACTATGAAAGGTTCATTATAATACATCTTGATAGCTAATACTTCAATCTGTGTTTGTAACACACTCTTCACCATAAATTATTTCTGAAAAATGTTGTCACTCCTCCCCACATTCTTTCTGAGTGTCGTAATTTGTAGTTTTTAAGTTTCATTGCATGTTTTTCATTGAGGAGTGTTTCTTGTGTACATTAACTCATCAAATAAGTCTGGGAACAACGCATCTCTTCACTCCACCTTAGGTACTCCACTGACCATGTTATCTTATTTAATTAATTAACATTATGAATTTGTCTATATTAAAATTAAAGCTGATTGGTTTTCACACAATTTATTTGCTTTTGGACCACTCTACTTAGCTTTTTCTGTACATATCCTATATATTATTTCTAAAATTTTGTCGCTACGCCATAACTTCATGGCGCCATGCATACAAAAACATACATTTTTTCTTGATTGTACCCATAATAATTAGAAAGATTACTAAATTACGTACAAAAAAAAAAAAGAAATTGTAAAAATTGGACTATTATTAACCAAAGATGCTGTCCATTAATACTTAATAATTGGTATACTTAATAATTTCTTCTTCTTTAATGATGTTGCATTTACTATTCTACTACGCTTCTTATGCTTGCTAATATTTTAACTTTATTATTTCTTAAAGGCATTTGTTTGTTCTTACATTTTATTTTATTTTTTAATAATTTAGAAAATCCCATTATTGAGGCTTTACTTTGACTTTATTACCTTTATTATCTTTCCAGTCAGCATTTAAAAAGTCGTAGCAATGCAATTTGTACAAATATTTTGGTCTATTATGTTAAATGGAATATTGTAATCGACAAAGGAAAAAATATTAATTCATTCCTTACATAATACATAGGATCTACTTATTTCCATATTGTTTGCTATTTCTTCACTAAACAAAATTTTCTGCAAATTATTCGCACGGGCCAACTAGTGATAATATATTTTATATATGTATTTTACGGTGGAAGATACTTGAGAACTAATTCAGTATATTTTTATCCAAATGTAATGAAATAACAGCTTACATTGGACAATGTATCAAGAGAGGAGCTGGTTGCAATCTAATTATTTACTTGAAAGAATTTATGATAAACTCTTTTATCTATGGCATCAGATGAGAAAAGTTTCCAAATTTTAAACTTCAGAAGCCGATATTCTTTATGGGATGACCTTTATGGGGGGTAGCCTTTCTGTTGCTCATTTAAAATTATAATAATTTCTTTTTTTTATGTAGATTTCCAGATATATGACCGGAGCAAAGTGTATGTCTTTGTGAAAGTGGAGTTGAACTGGAGTTTTGCTCTGGCTCTTCATGTCTCATAATTATTGATGAATAATAATCCAAGCCTATCACATATCTTTGATCTAAAGGTATGGCATTGTTACTATTTCAGATTTTATCTTGATCTGTTATTAACAATTTGTCTAGAATTGCCACATTGTCTGATATTTATTACCTCACCTGGTTTTACATTATTATTGTTTCTTCTAGTATAATATTAGGAAACTGAACATATATTTATCAGAATTTTGATCTTTGTCAGTTGTCATTTGTTTGGTTTGAAATTAATTTCTTAATTAAAAGACACTCCAAAAAAATATCTTAAGGGATGGGTAAGTAGTCAGCTGATCAATTATAAGAATGATATGAAATTGTCAGAAATTTCAGTTCAGTAGCCCTGAGGATGAGCCACATGTTTGGATCGAAACGTCGGCTAATCCAATAAAAATATCCACTGAAATTCCTGAGAATTTTGTTCCATTCAAAAAATATCTTGTGATGTATTGTAGCTCTCTCTACTGTATCTACTATAACATCAGCCTTTATAAATTATTTTCCTCTTTTGATGGTTGTGCAAATTGATTGTGCTCCTTGTAATCTTTCATTGTACTTTAATTCAATTCATAGCGATTTTTTGAGACATCACTATACAATAACAATAGATCTATCAATTAAAAGATAGGGGATTTCCTTGTTAAATCTTTCAATGCCGACGTTTCGACCCACTTTGCAGGTCGTCTTCAGGGCTACAAAAGATACAAAACATGTTGAAAATAAAAAATAAATATAAATAGATATAAAATAAGAAGAAGTTGTCAGATACAGAAATAAAAAGATGATATCAGAGATATAGTGGGTGACAATGTAGTTAAAATATTAAGTATTATATATGTAGAAGATACAAACAAATTTAAAATAAGTATGAATAAAAATAAAAATAAAGGAGAATATAGCATGTAAGTTAAAAGTAAACAGATTGCGATAAAAGATAAGGAATAAGTGTATAACAAACTAATAGAGATTACATTAGATAACTGTGGATTAACAGATAAAGAAAAATGAATGTTAACGAATAAATAGATTGAAAATTGAATAAGTATTGTTATAGTAAAGTTAAAATAAGAATAAGATAAAATAATAATAAGATATCAGTGGATAACAAGCTAGTGGAGGTTACATTTGATTGTTGGTAAAACAGATAACGGGACTAAAGGTTAAGAAGTAAAGAAATTGAAAGATTAATAGGGTAACATTAGTGTAATATCGTTAGGATAGATTATTAAGTATAAATAACTCTATAAGAAAACAATAATTTTAAAAGAGAACTTTAGAATGTAATTATAAATGTAAAACAAGGTTATGATGATAAAAAAACAAAAACAAGTTGTACTATATATAGATGACAATTGACATTCAGTTTTTTGAAAGCGGTAATGGAATAGTAGGCTGCATGAAGATAATAATAAGGTTTATAGTTGAAGGATAGGTGTGTTAAGAAAAGAATCACAATAAAAGTCAAAACTATCTATAGGGATTTATCTATAGGGATGTTGGTGAAGACGCTTTTAACATCGAAGGAGACTAGAATGTAATTATCAGGAATGGTTAGGGATAATAACAGATTAGGTAGATGAAAGGAGTTGTGGATATCATATGGATTGTCATGACTAAGGATTTGCAAGGATGGGAGTAGAAATTTGCTGTTTTAAAGAGGGAGAGTTGATATTAGAAGTGATAGGACGGAGGGGAGTGCCGGGTTTGTGAATTTTTGGAAGACCATAGAAACGGGGAGCCACAGAGTTATAAGAGATGAGGTTTCTGTAAGTAGAGTATGTGATTTGTTTAGAGTGTAAGAGGTTTCTGATATGTTGGTTAAATTGGATTTTAAGAAAAGGAGAAGGGTCACGGGTTGTAGGAGCGTATGTAGATATGTCTGATAGGAGTTCAGTCATTTTTCTATTATAGTCTGTGAGGTCCATGACATATTTATTTGACCGTACCCCCCAATTAACTCCTTCTCATATTATATCAACGGTCAACCATCTCTACATCATTGTAAATTATTTAAGATTATAATCATATGTTTTACACATAGGTGAAATGTTTTTACATTTAACTTCTTCTTTCACACAAGCACAATGAAATAGTTGTGCCATTGCCTTTTTCTTACTTCGACATAACTTTAAAAATTTACATTTCGTTAAAAAATTTCATTGAATTGAATTTCCTTGGAAACGTGTGGTTTCCATCAAATGATTTTATTTTTCAAAAAGTATTATTTGTAATTTTTCCATTACCTTCTATGACTTTCTATATTATGTATTGGTTGTTTTTTTCTAAAATTCTCAGCTTTCAAACAATATACTATACTTATGTCTTCTGATTATTACTTCCAGAGATTCATTTTCGACCTAAATAAATATATTTCCCTTTTTCTCCTTTATTCAATTATCAAATTCTTTAAAAAGTTATATTTAGCCTTTTTTCATAACTTTCAACTGTTAGAGATAAATAAATATTTAAAATAAACCAAATTAAAGATATTTTAGAAAAATAATTTTTTGAAAATTTGCCATTTAAGCTCTGTTAAGTGACATCAATGAGGATAAAATGATATACCGAGTTTAATCAAAATCGTTATAGCCGATTTTGAAAAAAATTGTAAAAATGTGTAAAATCGATGATATAAAGTGGCACTTTCAGTAAGTCAATTTTAAGGGAAAAGTAGCTGTAACATCCCAGGCATATACTTGGGTTAAATATGTATTTTCAGTTTTGTACGACTTTTCGTTTTTGAGCAAGACTATTCACACACAAAGACACAGAAATAATTTTGTGGGACTTAGTTATTTGGATTTAAGAGACCTCAAAACGTGTATTTTTGTTGAAAATCAGATTAAAAAATTTTCCTGCTCGCAATGCTTTTGCTTACTCTGTATTTTATCTGCAGGTTAGTGAAAGTAAAATCATTGAAATAAAGTGCTACTTCTGGTTAGTCGATTTTTGGAAAAAAGTTGCTGTCATATCGCAAGAGTATACATACCTTCAATATCAGTTTCATGCAACATTTTGTTTATAAGCTAGGCTGTGCAAGACACACTAACACGCATACAGACCATTATGTAAGACTTGGATTTGGACTCCTGGGACTACCTAGGGATTTAGACTATCTCTAATCTTATATTTTCTGCTGAAAATTTGGATTAAAAATTTCCTCGATCACAATACTTTCCTTTACTATATATTTTATAATTCGGTGAGTGAAAGTAAAAATGTAATTAAACCCATGTGCAATATTGCCACATGCTTGTTGGTTGCTTTTTTATGAATGTCTTTTTTAAAATATTCGATATTATAAATATTTGTAAATCTAAAATATACCTATGCATGTAAGTTTGAAAGACTGTATTAATCTTAACATTGTTATTTAAAATCTTAAGGCTGAGAAACTAGTGCAAAAAGATGAAATTCTATTCGCTATCAAGTGTATGTTACTCCACCTTTTCCCACCTGACAGCTGTCTATGTAAAAAAATAATCAAGATGCAATAATTTAAAAATTCTATTAATTATGTACTAATATGAATGATAGTCTTACCAAAAAAAGGCAAATTAATCTTCAGTTGTGATCAAACAAATACAGTTTCAAAAAATTTAATAGCAAAAGAAAAAATCAATAAAAACAAACCATTTGTTCCATCTAAGTTTATATGAAGTATGGATTTACAGATTATGACATCCAGTTTTTATTTCATAATCTAAAATAATTTTATTTTCACCCACGTTACTTAGACATATGGTAGTTGATTTACAAATGATAATTTGAGCTGTGATGTATCATGAATATATTATTAATTTTATTTTACTTCCTCTAGTGCTGGCCTTTAAATGAATAATAGAACCAAGTGGGAATTTTCATCTTCATTATCAACCACGTCACCATCAATCAAAACAATAATTATCTTACATGTTGTGTTTAGGGTGAAAGAGGATACAGAAATTTTATTATTTGATATTTTTCTACAATTATTTATGCAAGTATGTAATATGTAATTGAATATCTTCTTAAGTAGTATGTGAGTGAACGTGTGAGCGTGCTTGTGTGTTGTGAATGCAAGTATGTGTACCAAAGAGATCCATCCTCATAGTTGAATGAACATGCTGTGAATAGCTAGTCGATTCGTACAATTTTTTTTTTTTTTAATTTGTTTAGTGCAGTCTGATTATATATACCTAGCTTTAAATTTTATTTGGATTCAGAAAAGGTACACTTGTCAGTTGATATTTCTCGAAATATTTATTTACTATTTTGATGTAAACTTGCTCATTTATAAATTTTTTTTAATGGGTTAATCATAAAATTTTGTTTAATTCCAGTTTTATTGTATATTAGATTTTATGTAAGTGCACATGATTTTTGATAAGACAAAGGAGTTCTTCAAGTTTTTCCTTAAATTGACTTTTTGACTACTTCTTTGTCAAGTACTAAAAGCATGTACTAATCTTTTGTATATATGTTAGGACTATATACTACTGTACAATCATATACTACTGTACTCATATGCATTTATGTTAATTTCTAAGCCAGAAATATGAAAAACATTTTTACACTGACTTGTCTACCTTTCTTGATTTCCTATCTTGAAGTGTTCAAAAGAAGTATGCATATCTCAGCATTACATATGTTTACCAGATTTGACTTTGAGACTTAATTTTTCATCAAATTTACCAAAATGTTTTCTATACTCTTGTGTTTTAATTTATCTATGTATATAATTTATTTATGTATTCTGTGATTTTTTTTGTCTTTAAGGTTTTTCATTTTCATAGTGGTCCATTTGTAAATAATCATATTTTTATAGAATTTTGTTTTTTATTAAGTACTGTCACATAATGATTTTTGTAAGTACTGCATTAATAATTTAAGTTTGTTAAAAATGAATTTTTGTTGCTATCTAGGACCAATAAAAAATATACCTTTAAGTCTTTCTTCTAAATTTTTTTTTTGTGTCCTGGATCTATTGTAATTATATTAAATGAATGTTTTGTTAAAATTCTTCAAAATATAGGTTTTTAGATTTGGCTTTTTAAAATATTAGTTCTACACTTATTATATTCTTTGGTAAACTAGCATTATGATATCACTCATCCGATGGAACAATGATGTAACTGCAAACAATGAAATTTCATAAAAAACATATATTATACAAAAAACATTTACATTTTTGAAACTGATGGTTCAAAACTGTCCATTCAACTGTCCATTAGATGGTAAAATTTCACTGTCCATTCAAACTTTGCTGATATTATACTCTAACGCTTTGATTAAATAGATCTTCCTGATTTTTTAATATATTAAACTAGTGTAATTTATATTAAACTATAATATAAAACTATACTATAGTATAAAACTAGTAATTTTTTGCAACATTTTACAGCTGCACTGTCGTTCCACTGGATGGGCGATATGGTATTTAAATATTTTATTTTTAAATTCCTTTAATTTCTGATCAAAGCCAAATCTGCTAGCCTACCTTGACCCGTTCCATCTACTCAAAGCAGGGTATTTGTTATGTAAGTTTTAGGTATTATATACCTTTAAATTGTTTTTAACTTTATCTTAATAATGTAAATTGTATGACTTAACTTTTTTTATACAAATTTTATAAACTGTATGACTTATACTGCTATCACTTCGTTGGAAAGTGTCATATTATTTATATGCATTGTTCCTTTCACCTTTGTTATTTATTTAAACCACTGTTCAAAATTAGTTTTAAATTTATTCTATCACCAGATTTATTGTTGAATAATAAATTTCTTTTTGGTTGTTTTCGTATTTTTATATTTTATTATTGATATCCATCCTTATTAACTTTTATGTAATATACACTTCTAATTAATATCTGAAATTTAATTAAGTCTTTAATCTAATTAAAAAAAAAAAGGCATTTGCAGTAGAGCTCCGTCACTAAGGTTCTATTTTCCACTTATTTTTGATGTAAAAAGAAAATAGAAAGGGATTAAATTGTTTCTTTGGTGTTAAATAGAAAAATAAAAGCTTTGTAATTTATTACTCAAAGGTTTATTATATTCAATTAGTTACAAGTATAGCGTCCTCTTCTCGAAGAACTTTAAATTCACTTCTATAATAAACTTCACTCAGAAGAAGCTGGAAAAAATAATTACGATGTTAACATTAAATATAAAAAAAAAAAAAAAAAAGTATTAACTTTTTTGTTGATATGGTCATTTTAAAGTATAATAAATTACCTAAAAAATCAAAAAAAAAAAAAAATCATTTCAATGGGACGATTTGGTAAAAAGATATGTAGTTCCAAATATTTTACAAAAGCTCCAACCATTGTTTTGTCTTAAAAGAAGTGTATGACGGATCTTTGTAATTACTGGACGGATTTCGATGAAAATTTTTTTATTGTTTAGGAAATTTATATGTCTTCAAAATATGTTCTGACCCAAAAAAGGATATAGTACAACTTTTTTTCCTCTCCATGTGTAACCAACCTTTCCATGTAGTCATAACACAACAGCCTGGGCCTGTCTTTATTTCACCTACCCTCTGGTTTTGCTCCTATGAGCCATCTTTTGGCTATCACCCATCCAGTACACATGGCCAAAACACTTTAGTTGGCGCTCCTCCATGACCTGTTTTACAGGCCTTATATTCAATTCCTCTCGTTCCTCCAATGGTCTCTTCATGTTTTCCCAAGAACTCTCCTGAGGTATCACATTCCTATGCCTGTTACTTTACTTGCATGTTTTTCCAGGACCGTCCAACTCTCTGCATCATACAAAAGGACCGGCAGAAATACTGTTTTAAACAAAGCTATTTTTGTTTTCTTCTTTACCTGCTGTTTCCTTAATATTGTATTACAAATAGAGTAAAACAAACTGTTGGCCTTCTTGACTCTATTTAAAACCTCCTGGTCCTCGAATCTCTGCTAAAAATCTTGTCCAAGTACTGGTAGCTATCTACCTTTTCTGATAGCTCATTACTACTTTTTATGAGAACTTGGTCTTCCACATCTCGGCTGCCAAGCATCACCTTACTTTTTGTAGGGTTTATCTTTCCATTCCTTTCTCTGGAGTTCTGACCATTCATTGACAGCCATCTGAAGCCTTTCTTGGGTGTTGGCAATCAGCACCACGCCATCTGCATATAGGAGAGCTTGTGGCCTGTACAGGAATTAAATGCCAGTACCCCACTGTTGTTCTCAGTGTTCTTCGCTAACAAACGTTCAATACTTCATCCATACATATGATGAATAGTAGTGGGCTTAGGCTATCACCTTGCTTGACGCCTTTATAATACCTAAATGGCTCTGTCAAGCTGCACTATTCCCTTGGGATCCTGGTATACCGATTTGATAGCACTGATGAGATTAGATGGCACCTGTTTTTCCTGTATAGCATTCCAAATCTCTTGGTGAGGAATCAAATCAAATGCAGCCTTCAAGTCCAGGAATGCCAAAAATAACCTTCTTCCTTTTTCCCATGCTTTCTCAACAACCATTCTTAATGAGAAAATATGATCCTGGGTTTGCCTCCTTGAGCCTGCTCCTCTTCCAGATCATGCTCCACCAATCTCCTGATCCTCTGTTCCAACATTCTTGTATATAATTTATATACTCCAGAGGATAGGCATATTGATCTATTATCTCATTTTGTTTGGTGGCCTTTCTTGAAAATCGGAATTATAATATTATTTTCCCAGTCCTAAGGTATTTGTTTTTGTGACCAGAACTTTTGAAAGAAGTTCTGGAGTTACTTGACCAGTTCTTCTCCTCCATAATTTGTGAATTCTGGCATAATATTATCCTTTCCTGGTATTTTGCCCTATTTTATTTTTTCCATACCCAATGCAATCTCATCTTCCTCTATAACATCACTCATCATTCTCACTATTGTCCCTCCTCTCCACCTGATTTTCATGGATTCTAGGTCTTCTACGGCCATCATATCGAAGATATTGTCTGTATTCCTGGAAGGAAAAGGTACTCTGGTAGTGTTTTTGCCACACTTTGAGAATTTCTTTTTCATTTGACAGAAAATTACCGTTATCGTATTGGACGCTTCTTATCTGTTTCCCTTTCTTTCCTCTTAGTCCATTTACAATACTCCATAATTTTCTTTGATTTTCTTGTACCTCCTTTCCAAATTCCTCCCAAGATCTTGCCTTGACTTATTTGACAATTTGCTTGGCCATGTTTCTCAATCTAACGCATTCATCCCAACAAGCTTGGGATTTATTCTACTTGTATAGACTCCATACTTCTTTCTTATCTTTTATTGCTTTCTGCACTGGATCATTCCACCATCTATTATTTTTGGTCTGAGGTCTTATTTTCTTAATACCACATTTCTCTTTTTCACTAGAAAGGATTTAATTTTAACTTTTAATTTTAAGTACCTTGAAAATAGTTGAAATTTTGTTTATTTTATATTATCATGATCATAAATGATAAAATATTTGTTATCTCTTTGAAAAGTTTTCCGGATTGAATTTGGCTAAAAAATTATTTGGGCCAAGTATTCAGGGAAGAAAAAAATATATGCAGAAGTTATTTGGTACTATAAGAATCAAAAGTAAAGTAAAGGATAACTAAGTGAACACTGTGACTGCTTGAAGAATACTAATCTTTATTAATGCACTTTTGTTTAGGTACAGTTGTAATTAAACCATGATTTTTGTAATATTTTATAAATCGGAATTTATTTTCAGATAAACTATATCACTCTAAACTACCTATCATCAGGTTTCAGATCGAGGGTAGAAAAAATATGGGTTCCTGCTAAAGAAACCATGTCTTCGAATCTGGGAAAGGGGTACTGCTCCTCTACAATGTTATCATTAAGTTTTCTGTAATCGATAACTAAACCATTCAAGGGATCCCTTTGCTGGTATTGTGTCTTTTTCCCTACTACACAACTAAAGTGGGACGTACTATATCCTATAATCCCTTGATGAAGGTAGCTGCTAATTTATTATTGCCTTCATGGACTGCAGATACTTAAGACCTGTGGGTCTTATATATGAGACTTTGTTCTCTTTAAGTACTATCTGATGGGTGTTTTTTCTGGTCGCGGGTGATTGGCATCCCTTCTTGTAAAATATGTCCGTAAACTGGAATAACAGATATTCTTTTTCGGGTTCTTCCATGCGTACTACTTCCACCACGTACTCGTCTTCCTTATTTATAAGTCTATCTTGATATACTTTCGTTGCAAGACCATTTCCCACCTTCCTCGCCTACCTTGTTTCTGAAACCCGACCTTATACAGTACATCGTACCCGATTAGGATATTATATGAGCGGGAAATTTCTCTAACATGTGGACAACTGCACCTAATTTTACCCCGGTGACATTTTCGAGTACCGCACACGGTATTTACTAGCTATCTTCCTGGGTTGCCCTCGCCTTCTCAGTTACTAGTTTCCGTCCGCATCGCCCTTTTTAGATTTACAATTCTGACTCGTCTGGTCACCTGTTTTTTCGCTAATTTCGACTAACTGTGCTTCTGATAATTTTCTTCATCACTAGAGCTTTTTTTCGAAATATTCTCCCGAGCTCAAAGTTGAAGTATTCCTAAAACGTCTCGTCGTGTGGGTGTATACCTTCATGGGTTTTGGAAATGGATTCCTCCTATAAATCCAAGGCATGTCCTAGCGCCTTAACTTTTGTCTCTGCATTCAAAACACTTAACGAATTGACAATTGTGTCCTGACCGATTATATCCCTAGCACTTCCAGGAATCTTCTCTTCTCGG